GAACATCCTTCTCTCTGAACACACAGAGACATGGGGAAGAATCTGCACAAACGTTGCTACGTGTCCTGTAGTGTATTACCATTAGATCATATTTTTAATCCAATCATACTTCTCCATGACATCCATCAAATCTAGCATTAAAAAAACCACATGGATTTACCTGTTTCTTTGGGTCTTCATTTCCTTATGAAGTCTCCAGTGTCATATAAAACTTAAAATAAATATATATGCTTTTCTCATGTTAGTTTTTTGTTATAGGGGCCTCTGATGGAAACAGTTTTTTCTCTGTAATCACACTCAGTACATTAACTTCTGACATCAGACGCATGTGGGGTTTTCCACACATACCGACTGATTCCCCAGTGGACACCAACTAGGTGTCGCACAATTCACTTCTGATGCTTTCTACCTAGAGTTCAGACTCAGGTCCCACAAATGAAGGGCTCAGTCTCACAAGACTGCCCTCCACTGGAGATGCCAATCATAAGTAGTGCATTGTCATCTATACTTCTGACTGGCTATAAGGCTGGGTTCCCACTACGCTCTCCTTGGGTTCCATGAACTTGCTAGAATGGCTCACAGAGCTCAGGGAAACACATACTTACTACTGGTTTATTATAAAGGACGTTACAAAGGATACAGATGAACAGCCAGATGAAACGCACAGGGCAAGATATGGGGGCGGGAAAGGATGTGGAGCCTCCATGTCTTCTTTGGGTATGCCATCCTCCCAGTACCTCCCCATGTCTTAGCGAACTGGAACTCTCCGAGCCCTGGTTTTGGGATTTTATGGAGGTGTCATTACATGGGCATTGTTGATTACATACATCATTGGCCATTGGTCATCCACTCAAGCTTCCATTCCTCTCCCCTTGTGGGCTGAAAGTGCCAATTCTCTAATCACGTGGCTGGTTCCCCTGGCAACCAGCCCCCACTTGGAGGTTATTCAAGAGCCCACCAAAGGGTACCTCATTAGTACAAAAGATGCTCCTATCACCCAGGAAATTCCAAGGGATTTCGGAGCTCTGTGTCTGATGCTCCTAACACTCAGATCACTCAGAAAATTACAAAGGTCTTAGGAGCTCTGTGTCAGGAACCAGATCAAAGAGCAAATATTAGAAGGAAAACTTTTCCTAGAGCCCCAGTCTACAAGGGTTTTAGGAGCTCTGGGGTCAGAGACCAAATATATATTTCTTCTTATATCACAATATCACAGGGCCTCAGCTATAAACCCAGGATGGGTGAGGAAAAAACATCTTTCCTCCCCTAAAACATCTTCCAATCCACAAATATGATGTAAATATTAAGTCTTTTAAAATTCTCTCAGTGATGTTTTGAAGTTCTCAGTGTACAAGTTTACATGCTTTTAAAACGTCACCCCGAAATAATTCATCCTTTGATGCTATTAAAAATATTTTTATTTTGTTGCTAGTATACACACATACAACTGATTTGTTAATGTAGACTTGTCTCCCTCAAACTTGTTAATTCGGTTACTATGACAGTAGTAGCAGTTTTGTAGAGTTTAATTTTCTATGTATGTGAGGTCATCTGTGAATAATATTTTACTTCACCCTTTCCAATCTTTATTACTAACTATACTAGGACCTCAAATACAAGTCTGAATACAAGTGGTGTCTTAGTGCAGATCTAAGGGGTAAGTGTTCAATATTTTATCATTAAATGTTACCTATAGGTATTTCATAAATTCTCATTGATTTTTGGTTTTTTTTTGAGACAGAGTCTCACTTTGTTGCCCAGGCTAGGGTGAGTGCCGTGGCGTCAGCCTAGCTCACAGCAACCTCAAACTCCTGGGCTCAAGCAATCCTATTGCCTCAGCCTCCCGAGTAGCTGGGACTACAGGCATGTGCCACCATGCCCGGCTAATTTTTTCTATATATATCAGTTGGCCAATTAATTTCTACTTATAGTAGAGATGGGGTCTCACTCTTGCTCAGGCTGGTTTCGAACTCCTGACCTCGAGCAATCCACCCGCGTCAGCCTCCCAGAGTGCTAGGATTGCAGGAGTGAACCACTGCGCCCGGCCCATAAATTCTCTTTATTAGGTTGAGAAAGTTCCCTTCTATTCCTTGTTTGCTGAAGCTTTTATTATTATTACTTTGTAAGATGCTTTTTTTTTGAGTCAGGGTCTCTCTCTGTCGCCCAGGCTGGAGTGCAGTGGCACCATCATAGCTCACTGCAACCTCAAACTCCTGGGCTCAAGTGATGCTCCTCCCTCAGCCTCCTGAATATCTGGGACTACAGGTGTGCGCCACTATGTCCAGCTAATTTTTTCAAAATTTTTAGTAGAGACAGTGTCTCACTCTTATTCAAGCTTTTCTGTAATTCCTGGCCTCACGTGATCCTCCCACCTCAGCCTCCCAGAGTGCTAGAATTACAGGTGTAAGCCACTGCACCCATCCTGTAAAATCCTCTGTTATCTATTCAAATAATCACATGGTGTTTTCTCCTTAATTTTGTTACCATTGATTTTCAATTATACCAACCTTGCATCCCTGGGAAAACACCACTTAATCATCATGCAAGGTTGATATAATATTTGAAACTCAATTGTATAAAAAATTCCTTTTTATAGATTGCTGGATTCAAACTGCTAATATTTTGTTAGACTTTTGGAACTCTGTTTTTAAGAGTAATTGGTTTGGAGCTTTCTTTTCCTGAAATAACTTTGATTTTGGCCTAAGGGTAATGCTGGCGTCATAAAATGAGTTGGGAAGGGCTCCCTCCTCTATTTTTTTGGTGTGTGTGCCCCTCTCCCCTCCTCTATTTTCTAAAATGTTATGGAAGACTGGTATTTCTTCCTTAAATGTTTGATAGAATTCACCAGTGAAGCCATCTGGGCCTGGAATTTTCTTTGCAGGAAGGGTTTTAATTATGAATTCAATTTCTGTAATAGATAAGGGAATATACAAATCCTGTATTTCTTTTCATGTCTGTTTTGGTAATTTGTGTCTTTCAAGGAACATATCCATCTGAGCTAAGTTGTCATATTTGCTGGTATATGGTTATCTATGACAAAGGGACAAAGGCCAAACACCTCCCTTTGGGTGAGGCCAAATTCTTTACTACATACTGACCTTATCACTAGAAGATATTTGATGCAGTGTTTAGGGTTAAGGAGTCATGACATACACAACTTACTCTCGAATGGTTTGCCCCCCCCCAATAATATACACATACACACACATCTGTATACATATGAGAGAGATGTGAAACAAACATAAAATTGGTGAATTCAGGGCGAAGCATATAAGGGAACTAGTACTATTTTAATAACTTTTCTTATATTTAAAATTTTTCAAAATATAAAGTTAATATATTCATTTTCTATAACCCAGCAATTTAAGTAATCAGAAAAATCACACATATACTCTGCATAAGGAAGTTTATCACAGATCAACGCTTGAAAACACCTTAAAAATCTCACAAAGAGGACTCAGTAAGCAAACTACAATGTGATATCAAAGAACCAACGAAGACAAAAAACACTTTTTTTCTTAAAGGGTATCCAACGTGGAAAACACTCAGTATTGACTATTTAGGAGAAAAGTTACAACACTGAAAATACAACCCCTTTCTATACGCACAGGAAAAAGACGGCAAACAAGGAACATGCAAACAGCAGCTGTCTCTGAGTGGTGGAGTCACAGGTGAACTTGACTCTTCTTCATATGCCTCTTTTGAATTTCTTGAAGGATCCCAGATACTTTCTACCATTCCAGAGCAATGGGAAGGAGAGCTCTCGGTGTTTTAAGGCCTTAGCAGGCCAGGAGGTGTGGGTCTAGATTAATCCCACAAAGGAGTGAGATCCTGCAGGTAGTGGTGAAAATTGGCCTCAAAGTAGCCTCGCAGAGTGGAAATAACAGCAGGTGGCAGGACAGGAGCATAGACTGAGATCTGCATAGACTGAGATCTGGACTCAGATCCGACCCTCCGAAACGAAGCTTCAGAGACCAAGTAAGATGGTACATGTGAAAAAGGCAAAGTTACACAGAAATGAAAAGTGACTGACTTTCTGTTTCAGAAGTATGTTAATGGACTTGAAGCTCTTATTATGGGAAGTCCACATGGAGCAATGAGATCTAGAGTCTAAAAATCTGAGTGGAGGTTTGAATCTGTGTTTCCTGCAGGATCCTGGGCCAACTGTTTAGCCTTTGTGAGCCTATTTCTACCTCTAAAAATCTGGGATAACATGAAAATTTTGATTATTGTCCTCCAACGTCAAAAGATTGTTGTGGAGGGTCTGTGAGGGTGTTCTCTAATCTACAAAGTGCTTTGCAATGTTAGTTGTTAGAGTATGAGCTGTCCAGAAAAATCTAGCAGTTCAGTACTACCAATAAGCTTTGCCACAAGAAACCACGGAGCATACAATGTCTGAATTGACGAGGACGATGAACTTCATCCAACAGGCAGCAGAGAAGACCAGGGATCCAGGAGTCAGCTGGTCAGAGGTCCTGCCAGGAAGGACGGAGAGGGCATGAGTCGCCCTTACAAAAGGGAGGCAAGGACGTAAGAATTCTTGGTTTCCATCACAAGCACTTCTAGAAGCTGTATTAGAGAATACAATAAAGGAACTAGATGATGCACCCCAAGAGAAAGACTGCCGCAAGCCATAAAAGCTGGGGTTGCTCTTGGCCTCTGGATAGGGCTGCTGCATCATCCCTGAGCACAGTGCTGTGTGGGCTGGAACACTGTCCTAGGCTGGAAACACAGGGGGTCAGACAATAGATTAGATAAAATAAAATAAGAAAGAAAAAAAAAAAAGATATGTGCCTAATCTATAGCTGGAGATGTGGCAAGACGATGTAAAGACTAACTGTAGAGGACAGAAATATTTTTTCTATCCTTTTTATTTTCCTCCCTGTAAGGCCAGGGACAAATCTTTCTTGGTTTAGGATCAGTGGCAATACTCACAGCAAACAGTTCAGTCTCAAATACCGAGGTTACTGTTTTACAAAAGTGATCTATTCTTAAGAGTGTGAAATTGAGCCATTTTATTTGACAAAATCACTGTTACCCAGATACACTCTAAAAAATGTATTAGAATTCACTGCTTTCTGCATTAGATACAATGAAAGCAAGAAACTTTGTAAAACTGGGACAACTTGAGAGGTAGGCTGAGGATTGGCCACTATACTATTTCATAATATTGTAAAAATAACACAAATGCAAACTCCAGAGGTTAAGTTCAGGCGATTTATTGTAAACAGGATAACCCTAGCAGTCCACCATACTGGCTGTGTCACATGCTCCCTCTTTCACATCAACTAGTCAGAAAGAAGAGTTTTTTTAAAAAGTCCCAGGTAACTAATAACTTTATCTGTTTCACAAATCTCATTTACTAAGCACTGAGTAAATAGCAGTATTTGGGGTGGTCTGTTATTGCTCATGACTGCAGCTTGGACCCATCTACATGAATCCATTAGTATGCCTGAGTGATGCGACAGGAGCTCTAGATGCAATTTGGAAACTGGAAAATGCCGAAGCACACTGAACAACAATCGCAGGTTCGAGGAAGACTACATGAGATTGCTTTCAGATCGTGTGCCTTTCTTATAAAAATGACACTCCCAAATTTCACCCATTTTTTAAAAAGAGCTAAAAGTTATTCAATAGCACAGAATTATCCACAGAAAAGGTAGGTGGATTTCTATTTACTCTTACAGTGGTGGATTTAAACACTCAGGACTAATTTTAGATCTGTCTTGTATGTATTTGCAGTTTGATGAAAAGCTGCATAGTCTACAAATGCATAAAACCAGAAGGTAGTGATGACTTCACACACCTTCTGATGGACAAAGACAGGCTTCATACAAGGAGGCTCTTTGAAGGTACAGATAGAAAGACAGTTACAGCACCACATTGATCTGACAGTAGAAATGGAGCCCCACTTGTGAAAGCAGCTCCTAGAGTTGTGACTGTATCATTCTTGCCCCAAATTGAGATTTGGAAAATGGCAAATGTAAAAACTTAAGAGGTAAAAAGACATGACTTTAAAGAAAGAAGTCCTGGAAAATCAATTCATATGGTAAGGCAAAATGTCGTTTGGAAATGCCATTCTTTACTTTGCCTGAGTTAGTGGACAACAGGGCCACTTACTAGTTCCTGTATGTGGAAATATATTCACAATTTCTCTTGAAGCAAATTTTAATAACAGTAAATATTTTCAAACAGATGTTAAATCTACAGTAACAATTTCACTTAAAATAGTATCTCCTGAAAAAAATACTTTTTAAAAGTCCACTCCAGTCATCATCTGTATGTTTGTATGTTTATATTTATATATTCAAAAAATAAATGAACACTTAAGGCAAGATTAGACTGGTGGCAACAAGATTTTAGAGTCTTATGGAGACATGCCATTTAAGAATGCAAGGCTTTATTTTTTATATCTCCAAAAAGGTGGCTTTGTATTTGTTGCCTTTTAAATTCATAACAGGGCAAAATATTTGGGTTCACACACTGACTGCACTTTCACCACAGCAAAAAGTTAGGGGTGGTTCCAAAGCTGATGTTGGAAAAGCATGTCACACACTCAGTAAGATCTGAAGTTGACCCTATTTGTACTTGTTAAATAAATACAGCAACATGTTGATGAGAAAAAATAAAACTGACGGGACCCTGCAAACCAACTATGAACAAGAATGTCAATATAATTCAGTCAGAAAGAAAGAAACCACAGTAATCCTGAGAAATTCAGTTTAGGACAAAATTGATGTAAGGTAAATCTGTATTTCTAGCACTGTATATAAGTAGGCTGTTCTAGGGTTTTCTAGCATTTTACTAGTTGGAATAAAAAATATGTTCAAATTTTATAAAAAGATTAAAACCATGCCTTATATAATCAGTAATTTCACAAACAAAATTACATTGTTTTGTTTACCATCTGTCAAATGTAACGTCCTCCACTGATTTACATGAAACCGTCAAGTAGAAAGCAAATTTGAGGACCAATTTTAAAAAGGTATTACCTTTCTAAATGTTGCGAAGCCTTCTATGTCAATCTAGGAGGCTTTTTAGAAAAAAACTAACTTTTATTTTCTTTAGACAAGTGACTATTTTACAGAATAGGGAATATTCTATAGGAATATCATTCATCATTTTAAGCATTGTTATATAAGGGAAATTTCTCTTAGGAATGAAAAGAAAATTTTTAAAATATTTAAGAGGCATGTATTTTAAAAATATTCTACATCTATACGATTTTGTAATTTAATTACTTTGGATTTTTAATATTTCTACATAATGACATTTGATAACTTCTTTTGTTCTGTTTGTCTAATAGTGAACTAGAAGCTATTAAAGTGGCCAAGATTGTTTTCCTAGGCCCTGGAAGACTCAGGAATGCATCCACTCGCACTTTCCCAGCTGTGAGTAATCTTCAGAGTTTTGCAGCCATGAAGTTAATATGTGGTTTCACAAGGGGAAACAGTGGCAGACCACGCTTGAATTCGGTCATGTTCTGTACCACTTCAGGCTGCAAAGAAAAAAGTTTCCTTTTAGTGTATTTAACCCAAAAATAAGACTGAAGCAGGACATCAACTTTTTTTCTGGGGGTGGGATATACATATTAGTTTCTACCCTATGCCTTGTGATCTTCTGACCTTTCTTCTGGATCACTAGAGCCAAAGGGCATGGATTGGTCTATGCAAACCTATGGTCAGCGTTCCCAGCGGGACTGGGAAGACTCTTGGCTTTCCCCTGGGCAAATAAGGGCTGGCTCATCAGGGGCTCAGCACCAAGGCTTCAGCAGAGTAGCAAAGGCTGGGTAGGCCCACCCAGCTAGGGCCTGGTTACATTGCCAGTTTCCTCCTGCAAGGAAATGCCAATCTTTCTAGATGATTAAAATACACAGGCAGGCAACGAGGGAGGGGCAAAGAGGTCTCACTCCAATGTTCGATGCTGGGAAGAGAAGTTGCTAGACATCACTCATTGGAGAGTAACACAGCTGTTCAAACAAGAGACAAAGGCAGACAAGGGCAGAGGCTGAATGACCTGGTGTTCAAGGAGGAACTAAGTAGAAGCTTGAACACCTGGTGACCTAAAACCTGTAGGTCTTATGTGTCCTGATGAACAGGCTCCTTCTAAATAGGAAGTCCTCTGACAGTGCAATCTAACATAACAGTTACATTTCTTACTTGTGGCAAGGCTGGTGCTTGTGACAAATTTATATCATTTTGACATGGGAACTCTCCAACAACAGGACCTATAAGAAAATGAAAGATTTAATGCTTTGTACTTACTGATACTAGCACACAAGAACAACTCTCAAAAAAACCCTAAACCAGACTCAGTTCATTAAAAAACTGTACCAGGCCCAGTTCATGTACTTCTCAGATCCTCTGGGGCTGCCTGCTCCCAAGGCCTTGAGCCCTTGTCCTGCCTTCCATCGGGAGTGTTCCCAACGAAGGCTCATGATGTTATTGAGGTCATAAAGCTTTCACTGCAGCAGTTTTAGTGGCCAGGTTTGATCCAACTGGATCTTGAGTCTCTGGCCACCCGGAAGGACCCAGTAAAACCACCCAGCAGGCAGGGACTTAATGGTCATAGGGCAAACTTCGGCCAATAAAAGCCAGGAGATGGGAAGAACTGGGAAAACAAATTGCTTACTTGTCCTCCCCACAATACAGTGGTTCCATACAGGTTCTTTGGAGACACCCCTCTAGCAACCTGCTGCGTTTTCCTGTCAAGTTGTGGCTAGCTGGGCACCGTATCACCTGGTATCGGCTCTCTCATTCACTGCCGCATTTCCTTTTCCCCCTTATTTTTGCTTTGATAGAGTATCTCCAGTTCCCTTTCTCCAACCCTTTTATTTTTTTGGTGTTCTATAAGGCACGATGGTTCTATAAGAACCATCAGGTGGCTGAACATGAGCCTAAAATAGACATTAAAAAAAGTCATATGCAATACTTACAAGAATCCATTTCCCTGGCAAGAACATGCACGGATACCTTATGTCTCCTAGGGGCATCGACTGCCAACATTTCCTAGGCAGAAAGAAGAGCAAGGTCACCCTTTGCCCCACTAAAGAACTTAAAATGAGGTGTTCTCTGAAGACTATGAAGAATCAGCTGTTTCCCAGCCACATACAGAAGAGATGCTTCCCTTTCACTTATGTTATTTTATTTAAATGCTACAAAGATTTGGCCAGGTAGGACAGAATTATTCTTAGCCCTGTTTCACAGAAGAGAAAACTGAGCCCAAGGAGATGAAGCAACCTGATCAAACTCCTACCACTAATAAGCGCCTAAGCTGGTATTAAAAATCTTGCCTAGCATGTGAGGGCAATCTGGCTGCGACATCTGTCACCCCACTGATCGCCAGGGTTGATTCGGCTGATCTGGCTGGCTAGGCGGGTGTCCCCTCCCTCCCTCACCGCTCCATGTGCGTCCCTCCCGAAGCTGTGTGCTCATTGAAGAGGACGACCTTCCCCGCTAGAGGACCGGTTTTCGAGTTCGGTCAAGGGTATACGAGTAGCTGCGCTTGCCTGCTAGAGCCTCCAAAAATCTCGCCTAGTAGACACTGGGATGTGATGTGCAGGGCTGCACCTAGTGATCTTTAGCATCCATAGAGACAATGGCCTGAGCTTAGGCAGGGGACAACCACAATGCTTGTTCCTCTAAGAACCTTCTCAGATTCTGCAAATGGGTACTACTTGTAAACTGCGGTTCCCCATCTACCAAAAGAGAAATGTTAGAAAATCTAACATTTATTGAGTCCTGCCTTGTATCAGCCACTCACCCATGTTGTTAGCTCAACTAATTTTCTGAAATCTAAGCACCATGATGATGCCTATTTTAGAGACATAGACTCTAAGATGCACAGAGAGAGATAATGGCTTATGTGAGTCACACAGCTTGTAAGTGATGGTGTTGGAAGCTAGGTCTGCTTGCTCTTCCCATTTCACCATGTTGCTCTGCGGGATTACCCTCACTGCCACGAATGCCAGCAGTGCTCGGTTGGCAGGTAGATCTTGTGGAAAAGTGTCTCTTGACCTTACCCCTAAAGTGGGACTGTTACTGTCTTTTCCAAAGGAGTGCAAACTGTGAGGATATTTCCTCTGATGCCTTAGCCAGAAGTAATGTTTCATATCCTCAGAAGGAAGAGATCATCAGCTGAAGCAAATGTACTGCAATTATTTATGGCCCAGTCATTATAAGCCTGGTCTTCTGGGACTGCAAACGAAGCTACTGGTGTTGCACAGCAAACCTGACCACGGTCTCCTCTGCTCCCCCCTCACCGGCAAGACAGCCCAGGCTCTCCCACAGGCCTGCTCTGACCTCTCCAGCCTCTTCCAGGAGCTCAGCCCAGTAATATGTAGTACCTCCTCTGAGAACTTTTATCTTATTGGAATAAAATGCTTGCTTCCAAAGATCTACTCTTTTATTTATTTATTTATTTTTGAGACAAGAGTCTTGCTCTGTCACCCAGACTAGAGTACCGTGATGTTAGCTAGCTCACAGCAACCTCGACTTCCCTTTCTCCAACCCTTTTATTTTCTGGTGGTCTATAAGGCATGTAGCTATGACAAGGAACAGCCATAGGAGTTTGAGGTTGCTGCAAGCTAGGATGATGTCATGACACTCTAGCCCAGGTGACAGAGCAAGACTCTGTCTCAAAAAAAAAAAAAAAAAAAAAATACTAAGACACAGTGCTGGGATTACAGGTGTGAACATTGTGCCCAGTCTTTTCTCTTGATAAACTTTCTTAGCACAAGCATTCAAAACTCATAAGATCTCTGAACACTATTCAAAGGTGAGTAATTATTTATTTAAAAAAATCAGGCATAGTGGCACCTAAATGAGTAAAGACATTTTATAGTTGTCAGAGCTTGGAAAATAATCTGATTTTTGGGCTCTTTGCTCTTCCTCCTCACCAAACCTCAGCAATGTTCTCTGAGGGTGGGGTAGGGAATAGAGAGAAGAAACAAAAGGGCAGCCTACAGAGGTAGACTGGAAGCCAAGAAGGGCTGGAACAGTCCTTGGTCTCATAGGAGAGGAAAACAATAGTAGTTTCAATAAGAACTATCCATATTTCTTCTAATAGTAATAGGTGTTTGTGTCAAAAATACTTAAATCAACAAACATACCTTCATAAATCCAGCCTGATTAGGTTTAATGCAGCAACATACAACATAGCATGTAAAATATTTCCTTATCAGTCAAAATCTAACTGTACGAATCCAACTTACCTTGTAGAATTTGATGATATCTTCCTTGGTAAGTGTCTTTAAATATGCAACTTCTATATTATCTAAAAAAGTAGCCAAATAATAATTTATTAATTTTTTCATGTTAGTAGCTCAGAATACTATACTAAATGACAATATACTTTATTCCAAGACTCTTTTTTTTTTGAGGCAGAGTCTCACTCTGTTGGCCGGGTTAGAGTGCCGTGACATTAGCATAGCTCACAGCAACCTCAAACTCCTTCCTCCAGAAGTGATCCTTCTGCCTCAGCCTCCTGAGTATCTGGGACTACAGGCATGTGCCACCATACCTGACTAATTTTTTTCTATTTTTAGTTGTTTCGCTAATTTCTTTCTATATTTAGTAGAGATGAGGTCTCGCTCTTGCTCAGGCTGGTCTCGAACTCCTGAGCTCAAATAATACGCCTGCCTTGGCCTCCCAGAGTGCTAGGATTACAGGCGTGAGCCACTGGGTGCGGCCTTCCAAGACTCTAAAGTATATATATATATATATATATATATATATATATATTTTTTTTTTTTTTTTTTTTTTTTTTTTTTTTTTGAGAAAGAGTCTAACTTTTTGCCCAGGCTAGAGTGAGTGCCATGGCGTCAGCCTAGCTCACAGCAACCTCAAACTCCTGGGCTTAAGCAATCCTACTGCCTCAGCCTCCTGAGTAGCTGGGATTACAGGCATGCGCCACCATGCCTGGCTAATTTTTTCTATATATATTAGTTGGCCAATTAATTTCTTTCTATTTATAGTAGAGATGGGGTCTCACTCTTGCTCAGGCTGGTTTCAAACTCCTGACCTTGAGCGATCCACCTGCCTCGGCATCCCAGAGTGCTAGGATTACAGGCATGAGCCACTGCACCTGGCCTGAAGTAGCTATATTTTTAAGTGACTATCTGCTCCTACAAGTAGGAAGGATATATATTTCAAGTAAGTAAGTGGATATAGTGCAATGGGTAAGAGCCTTGGCTCAGGAGATAGGCCAACCTGGATTCATATCCTGGCTCTCTGCCTATGAGCTATTGGGGGGTCTTGGGCTAATCACTTCAACTTTTCTGAACCTCAGTTTCCTCATTTGGAAGCTGGAAGATAATAACCACCTGAATGGGGCTATATATAGCGAGAATTAAGAAAATGATATATGATGATAACGTGATAGTAGGCACAAGGTAAATGCTCAATAAATGCTGTATACTATTATCATTAATAGTGAATCCACCTGCTAGAAAAATTATGGGTAAGAAAACTGAGGTCCAAAAAAGGTTGCTTGACCAAGATCTTCAAGTTGTTGGTATCAATCAGAATGAGAATACAACCCAAGTCCTCAGACTTCTAGTACGGCTTAGCACACTTAGTTAATCATGTCTGCTCTAAAAGAAAGGTGAAAGGAAACTCATAAGACAGGAGACTTTAGGAAGCAAGGTGCTCCCAAATCTGAAAGCAGTGACAAATCTTTGGAGATCCCTAAAGACGAATGTTTGAATTCCTGTGCTTTTAGGGTAGCATTTGTCTCCAGGAGTTCAATTCGCAAATTTTTCATTTTTTCAGTGTTATGGAAAATAGATACTTATATATGTATCTATTCAGAATCTCAGGGGTACAATGATGAAACAAAAAAAGTGAAATTGGAAAATTGTTGTTATATTAAATAATGATTCTTTTTTTCTTTTTCTTTTTTTTTTTTGAGATAGGGTCACACTTTGTCACCTGGGCTAGAGTGCAGTGGCGTTATCATAGCTCACTGCAACCTCAAACTCCTGGGCTCAAGCGATCCTCCTGTCTCAGCCTCCCGAATAGCTGGGACTACAGGCACATGCCACCATGCCTGGCTAATTTTTCTATTTTTTGTAGAGACTGGGCTTTGTTTCTGCTCAGGCTGGTCTTGAACTCCTGGCCCTAAGCAATCTTCCCGCCTTGATCTCCCAAAGTACTAGGATTATAGGCGTGAGCCACCGCGCCTTATAATGGTTCTTAAGAAGTGCCAACCACCCCTACACCACCCCCCAAAATCAGTAATGGAACATCACCTACAAAATGAATACCATTTTGTAGAATGGCTTCAATGTCTTCAAATGTTATATTCAATTGTCATTAGTGTTGGGGCTCTAATTTTATCTTACCTCTGTCAAAATTGTATTGCTGGGAGATGATTTCACCCCAATATTTAGCACACTCAGCAGACAGTTTCTTTGGTTTGTCTAGTCGACGAATTGCTAATGCTTGAATGTGTTTTTGGAAGGCTTCTTCTGTCATGTCCTCTATGGACTTTTCCATGGTAATTAAGAAAGCTTCCACTCTGCTTTCTAGGTAGTGAGGCGGCTTTTCTGACTGGATGATGAATCGCAAGCCCTGTATGCCATTGGCTCGACGTGGTCCACTGAAGACAATATAGCCTGAAACACAAACACCAGCCAGTTAGGACTTTGGCATTTGAGCCTTGGGTCACTTTTAATCCTTCAAAAACTGCTCTGTCAGAGCAAATAAAATCTACTCTAAGCTTTAGATTATTCACCGCTGGAAAAATATGAACAGTTAAGATAATCTCAGCTCCTAAGGACAAAGTAGAAGAGCCCTCTGAAGAATAGTTACAAAGTTGGAGATGACTTTTTCTTCTCAGGGAAAAAAGAAAAAACAAACTCTATTCATCATTCAAACTCATAGCCTGTAACTCCCCACTCTCCAATAGTTAATACCCTTCAATCTATGCTAAAGTTGCTCACATTCCCACAAAATGCTAGCCTCATTTTCATGCCCTAACCACTGTCCTGGCTCTGTTTCCTTTAACATCCATGTTCCTTATATGAACTTGGATCTCCTATTTCTTGTTAGATAATCCATTCCTGATTATCTAGTCAGACTGCAACTCTCTAGAGATTAAGCTAACTAAAGGTCATACTTCCATTGTCATCTCATGAGCCCACGTACTACCTCCCTTCAACACCTCTTCTAAGCCAAGCTCTTGGCATGCCTCCTTCCTCCTTCAGCTGCTCTGCCCCGATCCACCACCTCTGACAGCTGTGATACCTCTGGGTCCTACTTCTGAGGAAGTCATTATGTTTAATACAATCCTTTCATAGTTTGAACACTCTTAATAATAACATCTACCACACTGTACTATAATTATTCTTTTACAGATCTGCCATCCTGATTTAACTGTGAGCTCCTTAAAAGGACTGACCATCTATGACATCCACTTTAAATGTCCAGCACCTAGCATGGTGGTTATTTAAAAAATGATATGTACTTGGAGAGACTTACTCAAATCCTTTTTTGTTGATTCTTCCCTGTCATTACTGGGGTTTCTTTGAACTTCTTTCCTCATTGATCAAACCTGCCAGGATCTCCAAGACTTTTAACAGTGCCCAAAACTCTGCCAATACTTAACAGAGTAACTTTTACATATCCCAGGCTTGGGACATAAAGATAAATACCAGATAATCCCTGCCCTCAGGGAAATCAAAATCTGATGAATCTAAGCTCCTCTAGATGGCCTGCTTCCCACCTTGCTACCCGAGAACCTGCCCTTAGCATCGTCTCCTAACTACCTGAAATGTCCTCTTTATTGATGATATGTATATAATACAAATACTGCGTCATCTCATTAAGAACTGCATTAATGTCCATAAGAAATTGACTGCTTATCTCTTAGAAGTGGGTTCTAGGTAAACAAGGTTTTCACAAGTCTCTCTGAATAGAGCATGCCTGGTACACAGTGCCAGGTGCTTCTACCTATGGAAAATGTTCTCTGAGAACAATGGTCATTCATCAAGGTCTATGGTGCCCCACTATTCCCCCACTCCCCTCTCACCCAACTGCTCCTTGGTGCGTAGGGTGTTGAAGCAAGGCTCAGAGATAATCTGACAGAAGAGTTCCAGAAACATATTCTCTGAGGTGCTCTGCATGTCTGTTTGGTAGTATATTTCGATGCCACAGTTATTGTGAACTTCATTCCTCCGCTGATAAACAAACCATCCTCCTAGGAAGTTTCAAAAAAAAAAGCAATAAATTCAAAAACTTATCTGGGACTTAATAAAGTCAATGCTATGTTTGCTCACTCTTACAGAAGATAATTTAGACATCAACAGTAAAGGAAGGCAGAGAAGCCTAGAGTTGTATTTCACCTGTTTCATTTTTCTGACCAGGTCCAAGTTTGACCAGCAGTCAAACTTTCTGATCATAAACCAGCAGTACTAAGTTCCCTCTTTTAACAAGAGGGAGGGAAACATTGGCTATAAGTCTTCCTGCCCCATCCCATAAACTTCCAGCCTTTTCATACATATTCCAAATGTCTCCTTCTTCACAATGCCTGAAACTTTTCTTTGTAAACTGTAATGCCTTCCCATGGAGAGTTAAGTGAAGGAAAGTATTCACATCTGATCAGCTGGCTAAATCAGAATGACTTCCTAACCCCTGACATTTTGAGAATGAGATGTGAACCGAGCTGTTTTTGAGCATGTGGCAACTTGGGAGGGTACTCAGGAGGCAAAAAAGATAAGGTCCTAGGAGGGAGAGAGCAAGAAGGAAGTAGAGTGCAGAGAGAGGTATGAAAGATAAATTTCACTTTGCAATCTTGTTTCTAGACTGGCCTTACTTTGCCTGAACACAAATGCTATGTCTATTGCACAGCACATCCTGATTCTCCCTCTCTGCTCTGGCTGTAGAAACTGAGGAACAAACCAGCAGAAGTTTGAAATGAACCACCACAGGTCTGTGATGACTGGTCATACAGAACAACAGAGCTATGTCAAGGTATCTCTAAGCATTCAACAAAATATCCTGAAGTAACGATATGTTTGAGTTGCTTTAGGAGCTACTCAAATGGGCCAGACACAGACCCTGGCTTTAAGGAATGTACAGTCTCACAAGAAGATGGAGATGGACTTCAACCCTAATGAGAGAGTAGGAGTGCTGAGTAGTTTAAACAGGGAGGTTCGGAAAAACTGTGCTGGGAGTTCAGCAGTAGAAATGATTATTTCTAGCAAGGAGTTTTCAGAAAAGTGTAGTGGAGTAGGTAGCTTATAAAATAGGCTTGTAAAGATAAGTAGGGTATAGGCCCATGAGGAAGAAGGGGGAAAGGGGAACACCATTTTGGGAGGATAAAACAGTTGGGGAATAAGAAGCACAAATGGCACATGCATGGAGAATAGCCAACTATCAAGTCTGGCCCCCCAAAATGCTTCTCTTTCTCGGTCTAGTATACTTTCTATTATAGTTTTTTGGCGGTTGGGGGGACAACAGTGTTACTTGCCAATCATTATATAGTTTTGAACAATATTGACAACAATGTTTAATAAATTTTTATTTACAAAAAATCATTGCTAATGTACAAATAGCCAAACACTGCAAACCCCAATATATAAATTAAATAAAATCAATTCTTTGTTAATCTCTTATAAAAATATACATGTATTCTTTGGGAGATCGAGGCTGGAGGATTGTTTGAGGCCAGGAGTTTGAGACTAGCCTGGACAACATAGCAAGACCCTATCTCTACAAAAACTCTTTTTTTTTTTTTTTTGAGACAGAGTCTCACTTTGTTGCCCAGGCTAGAGTGAGTGCCGTGATGTCAGCCTTGCTTACAGCAACCTCAATCTCCTGGGCTTAAGCGATCTTAATGCCTCAGCCTCCCAAGTAGCTGGGACTACAGGCATGCAACATCATGCCTGGCTAATTTTTTCTCTATATATATTTTTAGTTGGCCAATTAATTTCTTTCTATTTTTAGTAGAGATGGGGTCTCACTCAGGCTGGTTTCAAACTCCTGACCTTGAGCAATCCACCTGCCTTGGCCTCTCAGAGTGCTAGGATTATAGGCATGAGCCACCATGCCTGGCCTCTACAAAAACTTTTTAAAAATTAGCCTGGCATGATGGCCCCTATTCGGAAGGCTGAGGCAGGAGGACTGCTTGAGTCCAGGAGTCTAGGGTTAAGTAAGCTATGAACACACCCCTGCACTCCAGCTTGGGCAAGAAAGCAAGACCATGTTTCTTCAAAAAACAAAAAAGAAAATCCATGTAATGAATACATGTTATCTGTACCAGTGGGTTTCCTAAAACTATTTCTGCCAAAGAATCCTATGGGCTTCTAATTAAATATTATGATTCTAATTTCTATGTTTTATAAATAAATTATATTTCATGCTTGATGGTCAATTTTTCTTTACCTTTATGTATTTTTACTTCTTAATTCCCCTACATTCAAGTACCAATCGATTCCAGTATCATTCTCTTCAAAATTATTGTCACCTCCAATTTCAATTCTTTGGCCCTCCTACCAGAGAATTTTCTGGCCTAATTATCTATTTTTAATCATACTTCTATAAATAGTAGAGGATCCTAGTGGATCTTTGCCATAAAACTACACATTATCATCCAACTGAATTCAACCCCCCTATAATCACCCACATTATTAAGTCGAGATAGTCCATTCCCTAAGGTATAACATCTCGACTTACCATCAGGGAGCTGAACCTCTCTATACCGAACCAGCTGACTTGGAAGAAGAGGTTTGGTGTGAGCATGTTCGATGAGAGTGTCTTCAACCATCTGCATAATTCCTAAAGCAGCCTGGGGAAAAATATATGTCCTAGCATGTTACAAAAACATAAACACATCTTGTCTGTAAAGATAAAAACACTATAATGGATGGTAGTCCATTGCAATATGAAAACAATATGTTTATAAAATAAACTAGCTTAGTTTATCATAAAAATGGATTTTTAAATCTTAAAAACATTTGATCCTATTCAAATGGATAAAAATTTAATTTGTCAGTATGATTAATTTGCAGTATAGTCAACATGGTAGCAGTGAAGAGAAACAGAGACCCAGACAATCATCAACATTGATGACAATGCTGGTAAAAAAGGCACTGCCAAAGCTAGACAGGGACTGGAGATATAACGTTGGTCTCAAGTGAAATGATGCTGCAAACACCTGGGGTCACAGCAGAGCAAAAGAGGTGAGTATAAGGCTTTACTGTAGGTAAAATTGACCTTGGTAAGAATCCTGTCTCTGCCACTTATTAATATCTAACCTTGGGCATATTGTTTTGGAGGCAATATGGCAGAGTGGTAGAGACTGAGGGATCCTGAGACAGACTGCCATGGAGATTTTATACTGCTTTCCATGTGTTAAGCACTTGGCATGTACTATTTAACCTTTATAATCCATGATGTAGGCACTACTGTAACTAATTTTACTGATAAGAAAACAAAGCACAGAGTTAAGACATTTTCAGAAGATTATGTATCTAGTATATGACAGAGCCAGGATTTAAATCTAAGCTGTCTGATTCCACATCATATGTTCTCTTATCCATTAAATAGTGTGCTGCCACCCTGTATACAGTAGGGATTATTATTCCCATTTCCTCTTGTGATTGCACAAGGCAGGCAACAGCAGAGGAGGCAGCTATGAAAGTAGGTCCTCAGTTAACTACCATATTTTACTTCCCCTGTGCCCTCACCTACCTTCCTCCATAGAGCAGAGAAGGTTCAGTGACCTCTACTCTGTTTATTTTACTGGTTAACAGTCTTGAGACAGAATAAAGGGGAAAAAATCTCTTGCATTGATCTACAAAACATTGCTATAACCTCAACCACCCACCTGCTTTGTTATGTTTCCATGGAGAAGGGCTTCAATGTGCAGCCGTGACAGGAGCTGAGGTATAAACGCCTTAAGACGAGGAAGGGTAACATCTGTAAAGGTGTTAAGAAGAAATATACTGAGCTCTACCTATACGTTGGAAGAATACCACAAAGGTATATACCTTATCAGTGCATAATAGGGGATACATGAGGTTGATATATTGTAGTACTAGTGATATTAACACTGACCGCTTATTAAAGATGGTGTCTGCCAGATGTCCTCACTAGAAATGTACTATTTTATTCTTTTGGTTATAATTGAGTAACTCATGTATGCTCTATGTGCAATTTTGAAAAGCTCACTTGCCTATTAGTGCCTATTTTCCCCATTATAATTAATAAATATTTATTTTGAGGGATATACTTATCTTGCTTTTCCTTAAATTTTACACTAATTTTAGCATCCATCGGTGTAACTGTAGCAATTATTACTATGGTGTCCTAATGGCAATTTTTCTATTTCCCTCATTCCTTTTATATGTATCGATTTAATTCTTTTGTAATGAAGAATTGTTCCTTCTCCATTAGGACACCATAGTAATAATTGCTACAGGCAAGATCCACCATCAAATACTAAAATTAGTGCCTGAAATTTTAGTAGAAACACAGGAGGGGAAGTAACAAATGCTTACTATGGATTAGGCATTTTACAGATGCTATCTTTCAAACTAAAAAGTATGTACTATTATTCCCATATTAAAGGTAAGAAAACTGAAGCTAAGAAAATTTAAGTTTCTTGTCCAAAATCATCAAGCTAGTAAGTTGCATAGCTGGACTTGATCCTTGGTCTAATGCCAAAGTGGACACTCACTCCACTCCACTGTATTGTCTTAGGAGTCCCTTCATAGGACTCCCTCATCACTCTCTGCAGCTCTCTATCACAATACTTACCATCCCCCCTTGTCTCTATGGAAATGATTCATTTAAACTTACACTTTGCCACTAGACTGGAGCTCCTTGATGCAAGAAACTCCATCTAATTGATGGTTTTTAAATCTCAAACACATGAAGTCTAGAGTTTGACAGTCAATAAACGTTTCTGGACAACGCTGACCCTGAAGGTTCTTATTATACTAGCACCTAGATACCTGAATGATTCAGAGTCATGGGGGAGCAAGCCTCTCACACTGAGTTGTCTCCAAATTAAACCATATGAGCATTCTGCATTATCATAGGAGTATATCAAAACAGAATGTTATTTATTATAACAGAGAATTTTAACCAAAAAAGTACTCCCCATTTTAGAGAGGCTTTATATATGCCTATGAGATACTTTAGAGCTTACTCTGCTTAAAATTTACATGCTATCTGACCCAGATTTTTTTTTTTTGAGACAGAGTCTCACTCTGTTGCCTGGGTTAGTGTGCCCTGGCGTCAGCCTACCTCACAGCAACCTCAAACTCCTGGGCTCAAGCAATCCTACTGTCCTAGCCCCCCGAGTAGCTGGGACTACATGCATGCACGACTATGCCTGGGGAATTTTTTAATATATATTTTTAGTTGTCCAGCTAATTTCTTTCTATTTTTAGTAAAGACAAGGTCTTGCTCTTGCTCAGGCTGGTCTCGAACACCTGAGCTCAAACGATCCTCCTGCCTCAGCCTCCCAGAGTGCTAGGATTATAGGCGTGAGCCACGGCACCCAACCCTGACCCAGATTCTAACAAGGGGGGAAAGAAACCCGAAACCACACTAAACCTTTGCTTTTTGATGATTATGAAAGCAAGTTCAATTTCTTGAAAACACATTTAAAATCATTTATGTGGAATTTTTAAAAAGGTATAATTATTGCTATTAATTGCACATGACTATAAACATTTTACAAAGAAAATAACATTAATGGTCCAAGATAAAAAATGCATCTAGCCTCCTACCCAATTCCTGAGGCAACCAACAAAATAATGACTTTCAATACTTTGCTCTTGATTTGCCACTGAAGATATCAAAAGCAAAGTGTTACCTAATAAGTAAGGATTTGTCATAAAAAATTATTAAAAATTCAACAGAATTCTTTTTTTAATTGCATTTTAATTCTTATTGCTGAGCATGTAGAAAGAAAGATTAATTGGTAAAATAATGTTGGGAAGTAAAAAAAAAAGTATTATAAAACAATAATAAAGGGTGACACCAACCTACGTTTTTTCCAATAAGGCAACCGTGAAAGTAATTTTTTTCTACTCAGTAAGCATTCATTAGACACACACTGATATTATACTAGATATTATAATATTGCAATATATTATACTAGATAAAGAGGATAAAAGGAGGGCATAATCACTGCTCTCAAGGAATGTGAGGCTTTCAAGCCAAACTCCTGGAAACTAGATTTAAGATTTTAGGAAAAAAATAACAAAAGACAACTCTTTAGGCTTTACACATTTTCTAATTTTTAACCAGATGCTTTTTTTTTTTTGAGACAGAGTCTCGCTTTGTTGCCTAGGCTAGAGTGAGTGCGTCAGCCTAGCTCACAGCAACCTCAATCTCCTGGCTCAAGCAATCCTTCTGCCTCAGCCTCCCAAGTAGCTGGGACTACAGGCATGCGCCACCATGCCTGGCTAATTTTTTTTTTATATATATTAGTTGGCCAATTAATTTCTTTCTATTTATAGTAGAGACGGGCCTCGCTCTTGTTCAGGCTGGTTTCGAACTCCTGACCTCGAGCAATCCGCCCGCCTCGGCCTCCCAGAGAGCTAGGATTACAGGCGTGAGCCACCACGCCCGGCCTAACCGATGTTTTAATTGGAACAAATCCAAGGATGCCAGAGCAAGAAAAAAATGCCCTAAGCACTTTTGTGTGATAAGACTTTCAAGTTCATTGGGGCGGGGGCAGGGGCAATATTTGTAACCTAACAATATTTGTACCTCCATAATATGATGAAATAAAAGAAAAAAGAAAAAAAAAAAAGACTTTCAAGTTCAGCCCATTTTTCCTTTTCTGAAAGCTTCAATATTAATAAGGTAAGTACTTGGATCAGAGGAGTTAGTCATCTGAAGAAATCTATGACGAATAATAATTAAATGTTGTAGAGGTTACAGTTGAAAATAGCAAATGTGGCTAAACTGCCTGAATGCAAAAGCCACTTCAAAGGCTACCACTGTTTTTACAAAAAACACACACAGCTGGCTTTAACAGAACTACAAGTTATTTGAAAGTATAAATACTTGGTTATCAGGATAAACCAAAATGATTTTAGAAAAAAAAATGAAGAAAACATAAGGCTTTAAGTAGAAAATGAGTCTCACCATCCAGGGCTTCTTTTAACTCATCTTTAGTCCAGGCCACTTCAGTCATCAGCAAGCGGAGGTAGTACATGGCATGCTGGTGAGGCTGTTCGGCCCGGAAATTGTTAAGAGATCGCATATACTAGGGAAGGGAGACATGGGTTCATTAATTTCATACATCTTTTAAGAAATCATTTCAAAAGATCACCTATAATCAAACTTTGTTTCATATAAATTATGTGTTACTGAGATGCAGGAAGTTACTCCTTTCTCCTTTCTGAAGTAATATAATTAAGAATGGGGCTCACTCCTCTCTGATCTTTAAACTAAAGGGCATACTTTTTCTCTGTCCAGGCTGATGCTTTATTCCTAGCATCTGACATGAACTCTAAGTGCCTTCGATATAGGACATCTTTCATCCCTCAGAAATTAGCCCCAGTTTTCAGGGCCTCCATCTTTTGGCATCCTTAGATTTTATACTATAAAGTCATCCCAAAGGTCTCTATAAGCGACCAACATGAATGGGGTGTGTGTGTGTATATGTGTGTGTGTAGTGTGTGTATGTATATATGATATTAGATCTTTATTTGAAGACTGATGGTAGTTTTTTATGGTGTATAATAAAGGTCACAGCTTAGCTTTAAAAGTAGTTATCCATCCCATACTTGGCCAAATGTACGTTGAATTTAAGTGGGAGATACATCAAATCTAAATAGTGTGCCCTAATGTGACAAAGTTCTTGTGGTAGGGCAGACTTCAATTTGCTGAATTATGTGTTCTTCCAAACTGGAAGGTGAGATGAAACACTCAAGGAGGCCCTGACAGTCACTAGATGCTTCTCTTTGAAAGTCAGTGCTGCAACTGCACTAGCTCTTGGAGCTCACTGAAGGAGCCAGCTGTTCACCAGAGTTTTGTAGGCTTTCTGAGATGAATACAATGGAGTTATGAATGTTTTTTTCCCTCCTCTCCCCTTTTTCAAAAATTTTCATAATATGGCAATATTATCTTATGAATAAAAAATAATAAATTTTAAAAACAAGTTCAAAAAACTTACTGCCTCTTTGATAATTTCAAATCTTTTTTCATCAATCTCAAAGGTAGCCATTTTCTCAATAATCTTCTTTAGCAAAATCGGCTGCTTGTCATTGTAACCTTTCACCGAGAGCTACAGAAAGAGTTCAGGGTATTAAATGTCTAAAAATATCATGGATACACTTCCAAATAAACAACTTAAGCTTCATTTCTAAACATCTAGAAATTCCCAAAGCCAGGTGTATTAAAATAAAAATGAAACAAGAAATTCAATTAATTTAACTTCTCGCAGTTTAACACTTAGGGAGATAACATTGACCATCTTTTAAAACAATTTTATTGGCGCTGTGGCTCACGCCTGTAATCCTAGCTCTTGGGAGGCCGAGGCGGGCGGATTGCTCAAGGTCAGGAGTTCGAAACCAGCCTGAGCAAGAGCGAGACCCCGTCTCTACTATAAATAGAAAGAAATTAATTGGCCAACTGATATATATATAAAAAATTAGCCGGGCATGGTGGCGCATGCCTGTAGTCCCAGCTACTCGGGAGGCTGAGGCAGAAGGATCACTCGAGCCCAGGAGTTTGAGGTTGCTGTGAGCTAGGCTAATGCCACGGCACTCACTCTAGCCTGGACAACAAAGCGAGACTCTGTCTCAAAAAAAAAAAACAAAAAAAACAAAAAAACAATTTTATTTATTCATTTTTTTTTTTATTTTTTTAAAAGGGAAAGTGCTGGTATATTTATTCATTTTTTTAAGAGATGAGGTCTCACTATGTTGCCTAGGCTGGACTTGAACTCCTGAGCTCAAGTAATACTCCTGCCTCAGCCTCTTAAGTAGCTGGGACTACAGGCTCAGGCTACCATATTAGCCATTAACTATCTTTATATAATATTAAGTAATACCCATAGATTTCAGTTTAAAAATCATAAAAATTCCAAATTAAAAAGAAAAAAAATTAAAGGAAAAAAAATTAAGTAATACCCAAAAGCACAATTTTACTTTTCCTAAACAAAATCAAAAGCAGGTATATTCACCTGATGCCAAACTATGGTGGCACACACTATATCATTAAAATTCAAGTTTTCATTATATCAAAATTAATCATAGAATGTGGTTAAGTTTGTTCTTAAAAAGGAATTTCTAATGAATGGCAGGCTTAAGGTTTTTATAGGTATAATAAGAAAGTAAAAAGTCAAGGGGAGGCTGGGCATGGTGGCACATATCTACAGTTCCAGCTACCTAGGAGGCTGAGATGGGAGGCTCACTTGAGCAGAGGAGTTCCAGGCCAGCCTAGGCAACATAGTAAGACTCTGTCTCTTTAAAAAAATATCATAGGAGAGTGTTATCTAGCAAACTATTAAGACACGTCCCCAAATTTTTTATATTTAAATATTTTAAAAAATCATCTTGGGAGAAATCAGGCAGCCAATTTTGAATTACAAGGCATTTTGCCACTTTTTCATTCCAGTGTTGCCCAATAAAGACCCATAATTCTAACCACTTGCTTATTTGATGAGTTCTACTAATGTCTCAAAGCCAGTGGCAAAGCAAATGGGTGGAAAGGATATATTGAATGTATCATCAGAATTTTGCCTTAGGACAATTTATTCTGTCTCTGAAAGCCTAACACTTTGAAAAGCAGGGAATGAGGAATGCCTATTAAATTTCCTTGTGGTGGCACCGACAGCAGTAGAGGGTACACTGCAGTGAATACCTATGACCGTCTCTACCCTGTGAAGAACGATAGGCAAAAACCTCAGTTGGAGCAAAGTTCACCGGCCATGGAAAGCACATCATGTACCATAGGAACTACATCAAAAATTAGCAGGAAATAAACTTTATCATACATAGAAATTCTTTGTTTTAATGGTAATATGCTACTAAAATTCACCAACAAAAAATGTGAAATAGATTATTACTTTTCTATTTGGAGTTAGTTTTAATCTTTGAGCTTCAAATTTCTGTGGACTCTGAGAATGGTTAGATTATATACATTCTTACTCATTAAATAAAAGTTACCAGAGAATTTATGTGAAGAAAAAAAAGTCACTGCAAAATAAGTAAAAATTTAAAACCCTAAAATCTTTTGTATAAGAATTTAAATAAGGAGTACCCAGAAATGCTCTCATTTGAGTTTTTATTAAACTGTAATATATTTTCAAGAAAAGTGAAGATTAATGTGGACCATAAATGGGATGTAAATTTATAACTGAGATATAAGCAAGCTTGGAAACATATCAGAAACACTTTTGAGAGAAGGTTATTTCTCGGGATGCATTTAATAGTGCTTATTTTAAAATATACATTAAAAAAAGCTAATGAGGCATGCTACAAAATAAGTTAAAATGTAAACTGTATTTGAACATGGGGACTTTCTACTACTGTTTGCAGAAATAAAGGAAGCCTATACATAAGTAAAATTCAAGCACCACAGCAATAACTATGGATATCTTTCATTTATAGATGTTAATATACTCAAATACATAGAAATAACATGCTTTCAGGATTAATATGTTAAATATCTCAAGCAAAAGAACATGCAAATAAATATAGCACACATACATGTTCATAAGATGCAGTGAACTTTAATCATTCATTAGTGGAACTAATACTAATTTGAGTTCTTCAATCATTAAAAAGGCATAAAGAAAAAAACCATCGACCTTCTCGTTTGAAAAAATGCAGAAGTTAATAGTTTTCCCAAGCTCAACATAATGCTTAATGGTGTGGTGCCTTTTCTTTGGTTTTCATTTTACTTACAAGTATTGCATTCATTCCTGATGCAATGCCATAGCTCAAACCTGAGAGGCGTGCTGCATATGTATACTCTTTTAAATCATCCTTCAATAACCTGATAAACAGGTATGTCATGTTGCAATGGAGAGGATCAGCATAAATGTAGCGACTAACAAAAAAAAAAAAAAAAAAAAAGAAATGCTTTGATACCTCGAGCAGTGGCATGGTAATGAAGAAACATGACCGAAGAGTATGGATATGCAGCCTCATGATCTGGATTTCTAGGGGAAATAGTATAGGCCAACCTTAGGTTTTACAAAAGAAAGAAGACTTCACTCAAACACAGAACGGGTAAGATCTAAACCTAAATCAGGGTCAATTTTGTTTGAGCAGGAAAATATAACTATCTGATGAAAGATGTTAAAAAAAAAAAAAGAAATCAAGGAAAATTTGCATAATATGAATGGTATGTAGCTGAATACTCAGAATAAGAGCTAACTTAAAAATTAAATGATGAGAAAATATGATTAGCCATAAAGATTTAAAAAAAGAAATTAAACTCATACCCTCGATCGAAAACGCTTCCATCAAATCAATATAAAAAATGTTGATGAGTGGAAGGCTCTAAGGCGTGGGTACTTACATACATCCCATAGATGGTATTTTGGAGATCATAGCTCAAGCCTGCTAGCTCTGCTGCATATGCATACTCGTTGAGTGAGTCTTTGAGGAGCTCAAGGTACAAATAGGCCATGTTACAGTGCAAGGGGTCCACATAAGCAAATGGGCTGGAAGAAAATGTTGACAGTAAAATAGCTGATTTATTACTTCCCAATGTGATATGGCCTTTCGAGATGGATCAAGATATTGAACATCCATTAATATAATTTCCTGAGGATATGGTTGAATTCGTGAGGCTGTTTCTTCTCATTAGGAAAAAACAAGATGTCTGAAAAAGAAGCCTGAAATATGCTGTATGTGTGTGCTAGTAGTGGTGAAGAGGGAAAAGGAATTGCTTACCCCAGACGGTGTGGTAGGACTGACGAATTAGAAATGCAAGGTAGGTAAGGAGCGGGGACAAACAAAAACGCATACCTCTGTCGAGGCTAACAGGAGGAGGCATGGCTAATAGAACTGATACCGTATGTGCATGTCCTCTTTCAATCTCCAAGCAAGTCACACCCTTGGTGGACAGGAGTAAGAGACTGAGAAATTTGTCTGTGGTAATTATATGAACTTCAAAAAATTGAGACCTGTGAAAATGTTAGCTTATCCCTGAGTTTTCCCTAAAACCAATAAAGCTACAGCACTGTCAGTAAAATAATTGATACTTTCTATAACTGCAGCCAGAACTGGGAAAAAAATACTAAAATTGGAAAATATTTAAATGAGAAAGGACAACAAAAGAGAAAAAACAATTATAGAGTGCAAGAGCTAAATAGAATCACAGAGATAAACTAATCTTCATTTCTCCAATAAGAAACATAACATTCCTTGTGTCACCTGAACTGGTAGCAGCAAATTGAGATTCAAACACAAGTCAAATGACCTGTTCATCTGACTATATGACCCTGCTTACCTTCATCACAAGCAAAAGATTTATTCATTCAACAAATACGTATGATATGCTTATTACAGTGCCAGGCTCTTCTCCAGGCACTGGAAATAAAGAGAGAACCAATCAGGCAAAGTCCCTGACCTCACAGAGCTTGTAGTCTAGTTGGAGGAAACAAATAATAGATTTAAATCTGATAAATCAGTTGGTGATAGTGCTATGGAGAAAAATTAAGCAGGGTAAGGAGAATGGGAAATGATGGGGTGATGGCAGCAGGGCAGAAAGACTGCTACTTTACATAAGATGGTCAGTTAAGGTCACCTGGATACCTGGACCCATGCCCAAAGGAACAAGGGAGCAAGGGAACAAGCCCTGGGAATAACTAAGAGGTGGAGTGTCTGCATGGCAGCAAATTAAAACTTCACTCTATTTGGACCAGGCATGGTGGCTCATGCCTGTAATCCCAACACTTTGGGAGGCTGAGGTGGGAGGATTGCTTGAGCCCTTGAGTTTGAGAACAGCCTGGGAAACATAGCAAGACCCTGTCCCTACCAAAAAAAAAAAAAAAAAGCTGGGTGTGGTAGCACATGTCTGGAGTCCCAGCTATTTAGGAGACTGAGGCAGGAGGATCTCTTGAGCATAGGAGTTCGCAGTTATAATGAGCTATAATCAGGCCACTGCACTCCAGTCTGGATGACAGAGTAAGACCCTGTCTCTTTAAAAAAAAAAAAAAAAGTTTCACTCTATCTGTAGTATAGGAAATACGGCTAATGTACTGATAACAAAGCCAACAATTTTATCAAAGCTGATAATAAAACAAATACGGGGTAAAATGCTTAGCCACTTAGAATTAAAATCAAAGAGAAAGTTCTATAGCTATCGAAACATTCTCCAACTGGAAAATCTAAATAAACGCTCTGTCATTTAATTTTTAAAAAATATTTTACATGATGACGGATTTTCTCCTTTAGGCAAACTACAGTTCAGAAACTTAAGGCACAATTCACAAAAACAAAATCATCAAAACAAAAGACAGGCTATGACCAAGCTCAGCCTCATGGGCAACTGCACAGCTTTCTTTGGTGGAAGAGAAAAGCCAGAAAAGCTAAGCCTGTATATTATACATAATATAATCCTATTTCTGAAAAGATGAAAAAGACACACACATGAAAATGTCTGTAAAAATGTACAAGAAACTGACCAGTGATTACCTCTAGGAAAAACACACCACAGAGAGAGGGGTTGGTGGGAGGCAGACATTTTCCATTCTAGGAACAGTGTTGGGCAGTTTAGAGAACACAGAAATGTCAAAGGGTCTCTCAAAGGTATTCTAAAGAAATTCATAATCGTAGAGGCCAAATGGGAAAGTGGTGGCAAGCTGCTTAGACTGTTAAAAATATCATACTCCACTATCAAAAAATAAAATGCTCTGTAGTGCTTTGTAATGCTCTTGACCAATAATAAGCCACAACCTGACAGCCCATGTTTGGTGTAAAAAATACAAAAATCTCAGCACAGTTCTACATAATCTGTGAATCTCATGCTATAAAACAATATTTATATCTCTACAATCTCAACATATTTGGTGAGAGAATATTAACTTTATATTTAGAGATTCTTTTTCTGTTTTCTAAAACATTTAAACAACACCTAGCTTTAATTTTATGTCAAACCAATCAAATAAAAATCAATGAAAAAGCTGATCATATTGAACATTATTAAATGGTGATAGGTTTACTTCACAAATGCAGATCACTGAATTTTAGAAATACTGGGTGATATACATTACCACACAATTAAAAAATGACAGAAATGAAGATGCATTGAGAAATCATTGCAACAGTTGCATTATTCATAAATTTTACTAAACATCATCTTCCTCTTTATTAAATAATTTTTAAGTAACCAAGCCAAGAGTAGAAAAAGGAATATCTAAGGGGACCAGACAATTAAAGAACTGGACAGGACTCAAGATAATTTTGTAATTACTACCTCCTGTTCTGGGCAAGTCCAGGAATATAAAATTAAAACAACAAAAATACTCCAAAATTATTTATTCTTTTCTCAATGAATCTTCTTCTGGGTAAATCTACAGCTTCCTTAGAATCTAAAATCCTGAAGGCTAAGATCATTCTCCTGATAATAACTGAGATAAGACATTTCAGTTAAAGGGTTACTTATCAAAAAAAGAAAGAAAAAAGAATTAACAACCCTGGTGCTTACAACACCTCTTTAACAGTGGCAGACTTCCCTTGTCTAGGTAAAATAACTCTAATTCCTTTTATTTCCAGATATAGATGCTTAAGGACAGAAAATTTTAGAAATGTAATTGCTGATTTTTATAAGAAGATTTATAGCTATCTTCATCTTACATACCTGAAAAATTCAAAGTTGAGACAAGCCTTCGGCAAGAAAAACTTATCATCTTGTTTGAACCACAGTTTGCTCATAGCTGTATCCTGTGATGGAGAAACAATTTGGTCAGGAAAATACAGACATGTTTAGCAAAAATGTTCAACCAAATCACTCTCAAGAAGAGGAAGACAGAGGCTTTAGCTGAGAGTTTTGTTCTGGAAGCTGCTGAAGCACACTCACAGTGTCAGCAGGTAGGAAGCTGGACAAAGACTGCTGATCCTATAGCAGAGAAATCAGCCTTCTGTGCCCCCTGGATTTAGGGGAAGGGAGCACAATGAAGGAAGAGGCAGATTGGAGAACCAATACTAACAGTTCTGTCCTCATCTTTCTGGACACTGTGGGGCAGAAATATGCAAGAGTCCTTTGGGAGGGTGTGGCAGCCAGCCTCCAAGGTGGCCCACAGCATTCTCTGCTTGCTGAGATTCACAGCTTTGTGTAGTGCCGCCCCCACACACTGGACCATGGTCCATCTGCCTGACAAAATATGACAGAAGTGATAGTATGGTATCTCTGAGGTTAGATTATAAAAGACACTGTGGCTTACATCTTGACTGCTCAATTTCCGTCCTACATCATTCATTTGGGGAACCAGCTGTTATGCCATGTTTTGGGGAGAGGTCCATGTGAGGAGAAATTAAGGCCTGCTGAGAACCACACAATTGAACCTGAAGGGAATTCTCTAGCCCTAGTTGAGCCTTCGGATGACTGGAGCCCTGGCCAACAGCTTGACTATGAGACACCCTGAGCAAGAACTACCCAACTTCTGATTTCTGACTCTCAGAAACTGTGTGAGATGATAAATATTTGTGGTTTTAAGCTGCTAAATTTTGGGGTAATGTGATACACAGCAACAGATAACTAACACAGCCAAGGATTCACAAATAACCCCCTATCCTGACTCCCCCTTCATTCATGCTATACTAAGCATGCCTTTAGATGTTCACTTGAAACTACCTTGAAACCCTGACAAGAGATGTAAATGGTTTAATGTTTTTCTTAGTTTACTCTGATAAGGCCTACTTAAAATAAACAAGAAAAAACAGAAGAGGTAAGTAAACTTTCTGTTTAAAGAAGCTAATAACTAATATGTAACTCACTAAAATGTCTTTTTTGTTGTTGTTGTTGTTGTTTAGAGATAAGATCTCTCTCTGTTGCCCAAGTTGGAGTCCCTTGGCCAATCATAGCTCACTGCAACCTTGAACTACTGGGCTCAAGTGATCCTTCCGCCTCAGCCTCCTGAGTAGCTGGGACTACAGGTATGCATAACCATGCCTGGATAATTTTTTTTTTTTGTAGAGATGGGGTCTCCCTATGTTGCCCAGGCTGGTCTTGACTCCTGGTTTCAAGCCATCCTCCTGCCTCAGCTTCCTAACACATTGGGATTACATGTATGAGGCACTGTGCTTGGCCGAAAATGTCATTTTTAAGAAAAAAGGTTCTCTCTTTAATAATCTAGTTGCTCAAAATAAATTACATTTCATGTTCCTAAACACTGATTCTTATCTCATTGGGTTAATCTGAATGTCAGGTCATTTGAAGAAGATAAAAAGAAAGATGTGTGTCTACAGTCATGAGTTTAGAAAAAGTTTGCAAGTTTACAAAGGAGAATGTGCTGTAATAATTTGATCCATTTTTTCACATAGTTTAGTCTGAAATAAAGGCATGAAAAGAATAGTCTTAAAAGAAGGGGGTGAAAAATCCACTTCCCAATAATCCTTCTCACTGGCTTGTAATTCTATTAACTTCATATAGCCACTGTGTCATGAAAATGTTTTTTAAGGGCAGGAATTCTAATACCTCCCCCCTTGGACATGCTCTCTTCCTGGATTTAGAGACCATTTCTTATCTCTAACATTCATGATGCACCATTAACCTACTTCCTTATTGGATCTTCAGTGGATATGGAGAAGGGGCCCCTACCTTTCTAGACTTGTGGTTACAGTCCAGACTTATTTATTTTTTCTCCTGCAATGAAAGCAATTCCCTAGATTCTATGTTTTTTAGTAGTTTTGCTTGCTTACTGTAATATTTTTAACCTTCTAATATTTCTTATATTCTTTCTGTAACTTTGTTACCTCTCAGGATGTGACCCCCTCCCCAGTCAACACAGTACCAAATATAAGAAATGAGCTTTAGCCCTCCATGTAATAGGTCTGTCCCATAAATTTAAAATCAGTGATTCTAATACGTTACCTTAATAAGAGCAGGGTATGGTGTTGCCTCTTTTTCTAACGATAAAATCTCAAAATTTGTAGGAATAAATTCATTCTTTGTTGGAAGTTTAAATTTCCCATTCAGGTCAGCATTTTGCCATTTCTGGACAAATAATGAAAAACACACAAAAGCAAATAGAGTCTGATTCAAGATATTAAAGCAGTGTCTTTGCTCAATACCCAGGCAAATATTAAATGGATAAATGTAACACAGCATTCTTTTCCATCATACATAAAGGAGCTACTACCAAGATCTATCAATAGATTTTCATAAAACTTGAGTTGGTATTTCTGGTACTAATAAAGATTTTGCACTTATCTCTATCTTTCCTCTCCACATCTCCAAAATGACCAGCTGAGATTAAAGAACAATCTGAGGTCAGAGACTGCGAAACACAGAGAAGCTGACTGGTCCACATGAAGATTATGATGCTCTAACTCTTTAAAGAAAGAATAATCTGTACAGGAATATACTCCCACAAGTGCTGGACAACATTTTTTTATAATAGCCATACTTTCAGCTTTACTAAGTTACATTCACGATGTATGGTTTGAACCCAGGCTAAAGGGAACCTCTTTCACTTTAGTACTTCTTTAACGCCTGGCCCACATTTCTAGATGATCATGTGAACTCTCAAGTGAACCAGTAATTAAAGCACAAAGTTAAGAAGAAAGTTGAGGTTTAAGTCTGGATTGACACAACCTGTGGGTTGAATGTGCTCCACGGGCTAGTTCCAAAAGCTAAGTAGGTCAGACCCAGGCTATTGATTATTGAACTCTAGTTTATATGACTTTTGATTATTTTAAAAAAGCAACTGGTGGCTCACGCCTATAACCCTAGCACTCTGGGATGCCAAGGTGGATCACAATGCCTGACCTCAGGAGTTTGAAACCAGCCTAAACAAGAGTGAGACCTATCTCTACAAAAGTGGTACACGCCTGTAGTCCCAGCTACTCCGGAGGCTGAGGCAGGAGGATAACTCGAGCCCAGGAGTTGGAGCTTATAGTGAGCTATGATGATGATGCCACTGCACTCTAGCCAGGACTACAGAGTGGGACTCTGTATCAAAAAATAGAGCAACTGACTGCCAATAATTCTGGGTTCAGTAATTTGGTCTCTTGCTGATGTGGTGTCTGTTTTGTTTCCTGCATTTGTAGCTTATGGCACTGGGATGAAGGGGATGTTGGCTATACTATTTAAGTAGCAACCCAAGTGTCCAGAATGGCCGAATAGTGGGGGCTATGAAACATTCAGCAAGTAATTTCACTACTGAGTTCCCAGATACACTTTTTTCAAAAAAATTCCCATTCAGTAGGCACTGGAAATGTTCAACAGTTTTATTAAGGAAGCCAGGCATGCAATAGATTTTGTGCATGAAATCAGACTTCCGTTCAATATATGAGCTATCTATTTATTTATTTATTTTTACTTTCTCTTATTGTTTTTATTTATTTATTTTTTCTTTTTATTTTCAGGACATAGCTAATTGGACTGAATGTATCAGCTATTTATATTTTAAAATTTAAAAATTAAAAAAACAAATTCCCGTTCAGGGCAGGTTTGTTATGGTCAGAGTTTGGTGAATAGGGGCTTTTCTCCTGTTTTAGCATTATTTCAGACCCAACACGAATTTGTGGGAGATCAGATTTCCCAACAGTTTAGAAAGATGGATATTTTCACACACTGGAGGGCTTCAGTTATCTTCTGTACTGTGAATATTTCAAGAGATCCTTGAAGCACCAGTGATGATTTTCTTTCTTAAACTATTTCTTCTTTTTTCTACATTGTCATCACACAAGTACTTTATGTATTTACTTATTTTGAGATAGGGTCTCACTCTGTCAACTAGGCTGGAGTGCAGTGGCACAATCATAGACCATAGTGCACCGCAACCTCGAACTCCTGGGCTTAAGCAATCTGAGCTTCCCAAGTAGCAAGGACTACAGGCATGCACCACCATGCCTGGCTAAATTTTATTTTTTTGTAGAGATGGCATCTCATTATGCTGCCCAGGCTGGTCTTTTTTTTTTTTTTTTTTTGAGACAGAGTCTCACTCTGTCGCCAGGGCTAGAGTGCCATGGCATCAGCTTAGCTCACAGCAATCTCAAACTCCTGGGCTCAAGCAATCCTAACTGCCTTAGCTTCCTGAGTAGCTGGGACTACAGGCGTGCACCACCATGTCCAGCTCATTTTTTCTATATATTTTTAGTTGGCCAATTAATTTCTTTCTATTTATAGTAGAGTTGGAGTCTCGCTCTTGCTCAGGCTGGTTTTGAACTCCTGATCTTGAGCGATCCACCCGCCTCGGCCTCCCCAGAGTGCTAGGATTATAGGAGTGAGCCATCACGCCTGGCCCAGGCTGGTTTTGAACTCCTGCCCTCAAGTGATCCTTCTACTTCAGTTTCCTAAAGTGCTGGGATTATAGGTGTGAATCACTGCACTTGGCCTACACAGGTACATTTTTAAAATGTTAAGTTTAACTAGAATCTAGCCAGAGTAAGGCTTTCTGGTATCTTTCTATGAATAAAGGACTCAAACTCAAAGGCACATAGCTGGTTAAGAAACAAAAAGTACTATATAAGTAGATATGGTTCACAAACAAAATCTTTTTTTTGTTGTTGTTGCCCAGGCTAGAGTGAGTGCTGTGGCGTCAGCCTAGCTCACAGCAACCTCAAACTCCTGGGCTCAGGGATCCTGCTGCCTCAGCCTCCTGAGTAGCTGGGACTACAGGCATGAGCCACCATGCCCGGCTAATTTTTTCTATATATATTAGTTAGCCAATTTTTTTATTTTTTTTTTTTTAATTTTTTTTTTTTTGTTTTAGACAGTCTCACTCTGTTGCCCAGGCTAGAGTGAGTGCCGTGGCTTCAGCCTAGCTCACAGCAACCTCAAACTCCTGGGCTCAAGCGATCCTCCTGCCTCAGCCTCCCGGGTAGCTGGGACTACAGGCATGCGCCACCATGCCCGGCTAATTTTTTGTATATATATTTTTAGTTGGTCAATTAATTTCTTTCTATTTTTAGTAGAGACAGGGTCTTGCTCAGGCTGGTTTTGAACTCCTGACCTAGAGCAATCCGCCTGCCTCGGCCTCCCAGAGTGCTAGGATTACAGGCGTGAGCCACCACGCCCGGCCTTCTTTTTTTATTTATAGTAGAGACAGGGTCTCACTCTTGCTCAGGCTGGTTTTGATCTCCTGACCTCAAGCAATCCGCCTTGGCCTCCCAGAGTGCTAGGATTACAGGCATGAGCCACCGCGCCCGGCCCATAAACGAAATTTTAACTACTGATGAATAGGGTAAAGTACTATCTTACACCTGTTTTGAAATAAATCTTAATTACCCAATGTTGACAAAAAGAGCAATGATATAATATCAGGCATAAAATATAACACCTCCTAACATGAAGACAGTATGAATCCCAGAGACTGCTTCTAGTCTATGTTCGCAGCAATACTGTGAGCTCTCTGGAGCCTTTGCAACTGTCTTTCATGCTCCCTACTTCCACCTTTCTTTGACTTTCTGGCACCTTTGCTTCTCAGTGTACCCTGTACTTCAATGCTCTTTGACTACATAGGGCTGGGAGAAGTTTTACAGCCCTGGTGGTTTGACAGACACATAAGAAGGTGGCTTGCATGCCATTTCTTCATGCGGAAACCCCAACTCCAGCTCAACATCTTGTTCACTCCTCTTAGGACAGTACAGGTAAAATGAGGTCGTCATTCTCCACATTCTGGGCCTGGGGTTTGTGGATCTAGAGAGCTTATATTCTTGTGATTCCTCACACATCAGGCTTATTCACAGATGAATTAACCCTACCTTAATGACTTCGTCTGGGATAGCTTCTTGTTTGTACTGGGTTCCATACCACTCTTCTGTGCGATCAGTTTTTCCTTCAAAAGATTTTGAAACTATTGCAACCCTAGAGATATAGAAAAAGAAACCAGAAAAAAAACCCTCTAAACTCATGCTGTATACACAGATTTACAGAATCTGACTCGTGAAAATGTAAATAATATCCAAGAATATGTTGGGCCTCTTAAGATCCAGCAAATCCTCTAAGGCTTAAGTCCAAACAAGCAACATATGTATAGAGTTTTCTGATCATAGTCTCTATTATCCTGTGGTACAGTTCACTATTTTTAGTGTGAAAAAGAGCTTACAGGAGAAATTCTTCTAGGTATGCTATTGACTAAAATTTAAAAAGAAGAGTAGTTAGTAAAAAATGGAACAAGGTCAGTTGAAAAACAGTCCTTATAAAAGCAAAGAAGTTCTTTCCTAGGAACAGCTCAGGCCCAGAGTTAACAGGAATGGCTAAGAAAACCTGCGGACTCATCCAGAAATCAAAAAATCCCACAAACATACCAAAGGAACTTTTACTATTACTGTGCTCTATGGTTTTTCCTGCCAGAGACTAGCACCAAATATATCTACTACAAGTACATTGGCCTCCTGCTGCTGGGGGAGAAGTGGACAAGACCAAGAAATGCTTATCTTCTGGTTTATTAAAAGCTTTCTTTGATGGGACAGTAGAAACAGCCCAGAAGTCTGATGGGGAAAAAGTCAAGGAGAGAAGGTAAAATGATGTCAAAAGATAAGTGAACAGAAGATTAGCAGAGTAGTGGAGCAAAAGCAGTTCTGTACCAGTGGAACTCTGTAAGACATTCCTGTGGAGCATCACCACAGACATTTCTGCCTCTGCTGTCTCTTAATTATCTAAGTTGGAATCACTAATCACTATACCCCCACTAGTAGACTCAACTACTGGCAGGAACCAATCCTATTTTAAATCTTATGGATCAAGGAATTCTAACCAATTAGCTTGGATGACTTGGTGTGAAGTTAGTCCTGCTATTGGTTCCACTACTCCCTTGTGTTCCAGCTGAAATAACTAGGTCCATGTCTGTTCCTGGTTGTCCTCACCTATCCTCCCAGGAGTTTGGTTCTAGCCTCTGAATGTTGGCCTCACAGCTGAAAGCCACTTGTGTAATCCAAACTCCCCTCTGCTGAATACCCACCCATTTTCAAAATCCCAATCTGTGTTCCAAATGCCTGCCCCTTGTTGGACCTACCCAACTCTAATTGTTATCCCAACCACTATCTATTTCTTATTCATTCTAGACAAAATACTCCACCTGGCTGACTGGACTTGGTCTTATCACCTGCTTTTGGGTAGATATGCTAAAACAAAACTGACCTATCAGTAGGCATAACTGACTAATCTTTCAGCTCCTGGTGTTCCTAGTCTGGCCTACCTGCCACTAACCACTATTAATTCTAGAAAACATGCTAAATAAGAAATATGTTCCACAGAGACATAGAGAGGAATAACAGGGTTTAGCATATGAAAGAGTTCTGTGATTGTGTTCAGAAGGAAGTGATCCATGTTGGTAGTCCCTCAATCCCTTTTGAAGGAGTAGGTATAGTGTGCAGAACCTATACAGCCACATGAAGGGTGTACGATGTTTCTTAAGGGCATTCAATACATGCCAGAGTCCAAGACTCAGCCCTAGGAATTGCTTCCACTTTGTTGATTTCTCAGAGAATGAATAGACTGATTTTCAGAGACTTCTGAAAAATATATTAAGAAGCAGAAGGACCTGGTAGAGAGAAGATATTCCTATCTTCTCTTCCATGAGATGCTTGATTTTGTAAGAGTTCATTACATAGATGGTTTTCATTTCTCTGGATAATAGCCCAGGCATCAGAATAATGGGCCAGGGACTGATTACAACTTGCAAAGACTAAAGCATTCATTTGGCAAAGACTAAAGCATTCACTTACCCTCTGAAACAAGAAAACTTAAAACTCAATCCTGAGAGAGAAAGTAAAGCAGCTCAGTGAGAGCTGCCAAGCCAGATGCCCTGGAGGATGACTATATGACACAGAAAGCTGAAGGCTGTCCAGTAATGCTCAGGTTTAAAAAGGGGGAGAAAGAACATTTGTCAAGTATACTTCTTAGGGATTTAGATAGTTATATACCAAAGTAAAGTCCATGGGTAACATGTGAAATGTTATTCATGAGGAAGCAAATACAATACCTCAAACTAGGCACACTGGCCTAACAGAGAGATACTTTGCAGATTGACAATTAGTATATCATTAAGGAATTCAAAGCTGAAATATACAATGGGAAGGTATGTATTAAAAAGTAAAGGGAAGGAAGGGAATAACAGTAGACACAGAATATATAAGCACCAAATCCATATAGAAATCTGTGAACCAGAATGTGGAAGTCAGGGATGATCACTTGAATTAGGAGAAAAGGATACAAAGACAAGTCACAATAACTGAAGCAGTTATAGATAACTATAATACATGTAATTGCAGACAGTTCAGAACAACCAGCACAGATGTAACATTTTAGACTATCTGCTAAAAATCTAATTATACTAAAAAATAGTTTTGATGATAGTTTTTTTCTTGAGTGGAAGGGAGGAGGCGTGGGCTGTCGATATGGCACAGATGTACTCCTTAGAAACATGAGAGAAAATGACCTTTTCATATGGAAACTTGCAACAGTGAGAAAAGGAAACAGTGTGCTAGAATGAATGCTGTTTACTCTTAGTTGACACATGAAAAATCTTCAGAGGCTAAATGAAAAATATATATAAAATAAAAATCAAAAAAACAGTGTTAATTATGTGACCTAAATTTTTAAAAAAATGCTTAGAGGGAATGTAGCTGTAGAAGTTAGATGGAAACAAAAAGGCTCCTCACTACAGACATCAAAAAGCAATATAGTTCCCAAGGAATAAATTCTCATGAGATATGTACAAATAATTTCTGAGAGAAGAAGGGAGACAGACATCCAAAGAATGAGAAAAGGTTTCATAGGTAACTGTATGAATTCAAACAGCATTAGTGGAAAGGGCACAGACCAGGCAACAGGAAACTTGGATTCTGGTGAATACTCTGACTCACTTTCTTTGAGATCTTGCCAAAATCCCAGTTTAAGATCTAAATTAGGCAAGAGTGCTTAGCCTCTCTGTACTTGAGTTTCACTTACTTTTTCAACAGAGATTCAAATTAGATCAACTCTGTCCTTCCACTAGAATTCTACAATATCATGATATCAAATTAGCTTTTTAAAAGATACATTCAGAAGAAGATTTAAAAAAATGTATTGATGAGACTCAAAATCAAAGAATAGTGACAGGAAGGCTTAAGTGCTAAAGAATTTGAAGCTCATGAAAAATGCTAAAAATCATTTTTAAAAAGGGTTTCTTACAGTAAGAAGGAATCAAGAAAGACTAAGCTAAAAAGCTTAGAGGCCAGCCATGGTGGCTCACACCTATAATCCCAGCACCTTGGGAGGCCAAGTCAGGAGGATTGCTTGAGGCCAGGAATTTGAGATCAGCCTAAGCAATATAGTAAGACCCCATTTCTTAAAAAAACAAATTAGCCAGGTGTGGTGGTGCACTCCAGTAGTCCTAGCTACTTGGGAGGCTGAGGCAGGAGGATGGCTTGAACCCAGCAGGGCCAACTATATACATAATGAGTTGGACTAAATGACCTCTAAGGTTCCTTTCATTCTAAGGATTTTCCTATCTATTTCCCTACCTGGTTGCAATGTTAAACTTGTCTCAGTGGGTATTAAAGAAAGAAATCTTACCCTCCAGCTACCCTAGTCTGGCTGGGAAGCTGGCAATACTACCCCAAGCTGTTCTGCACTGCATCACTGACCTGCTGCAGTTACAACTGTAACAGTTACAGAGATCAATCCTGTAGAGAAAAACAACTTTTTCTTTAAGTGTGATAGTAAAGAGAAAAAGAGGTATTTAACTCTAATTACATAAGATAGCAAATTTAGAAACATGCATTTAAACATTTAATCAAAAGTAAAATGTATGCTCCAGCAAATTCACTCCTACAGAGTGTTACTGCATCAATTACTGACTCTAAAGCAGCAAGAATTATAATTTAAATCATGATTTTTCTTGCCAAAAGAAAAAGCCATATCCTTATTATATAAAATAATCCTAAATAGCATGAACTTGTGTTTGTACAATACTTTTCAACTTTGCTGAATCATTTTCCATCAGATAGAAAGATAAAGTACTACCTCCATTTTGCAGATGGGCAAGGTTCAAGGAAATTAAATGAGAACCAATGTTTATGACATTATATAAAGTTCAATTTTCATAAGTCCCCCTTGCAGGATTGTGAACTGTGAGGTTTCACATTAGTTATTCAAGAAACACTGGCTAAAGAAAAAAAGTGATATATCCAAGATCCATGACTAATAGGTGACAAAACCACACAAAACTAGTCACTGAAAGGAAACTTAAACATTGCCTAGTGAGTTCTATTATTAAGCTTTTATTAAGTTCAAAGCTCTTACTCCCAGGCTGATAAGTGGCTTCATTTTCAGAAGGTGTATAATAAAATTCTACAGGATTTAGGTTATTTTTCTAGAATATACAGCTACATTAAGGAAAATACAAATATTTAGACTGCTTTACTTGCTTAAAATGAGATAATGAATGTTCTAGATGTTTTTCTCCCATGTATTTTAATAAAGTAAATGCATGTATCTCTAAATGAAAGGTTTTTAATCTTGAAGTCCAATTTATCAATGTTTTTTCCTTAATGGTTATTGTTTTTGTTCTAAGATATATTTGCCTATCTCAAGGTTTTGAAGATATCTTCCCATGTTTTCTTCTAGAAGTTTTATAGTTTTAGTGTTTTTATTTAGGCTATGACGTATTTCAAATTAATTTTTGTGAATGATGAAAGGTAAAGGTCAAGTTTCATTTTTTTCCCATATGGATGTGCAGATGGTAGAAGAGCACCATTTGTTGAAAAAGACTTTCCATTCCCAATTTAATTATATTGGTGCCTTTATTAAAAGAAAAAACAAAAACAACTGACCAAGGGCCCAATGGATGGATAAAGACAATGTGGTATATATTAATATATACAAGGGAACATTATTCAGCCTTAAAAATAAAGGGAACCCTGTCACATGCTATAATACAACATGGGTGAACCTTGAGCATATTACAATAAATGAATACATCAGGCACAAAAAGACATGTTGTATAATTCTACCTATATCAGGTATCTAAAGTCAAATTCATAAAAAGAGAAAGTAGAATGGTGGTTATCAGGGGGAAGGAGAAAAGGAAAGTTATATTTAATGGGTATAGAGTTTCAGTTTCACAAGATGAAACAGTTCTGAAAATCTGTTTTACAACAATGTGAGTATACTTAACACTATGGGCAAATGAGCATATTATCTCTACAAAAAATTTAAAAATTACTTTGGGGTGGTGGCACTCGCCTATAGTCCCAGCTACTTGGGAGGCTAAAGTGGGACAATTGCTTGAGCCAAGGAATTTGAGGTTACAATGACCTATGATCAGGCCACTGCATTTCAGTTGGAGTGACAGAGTGAGACTCCATTTCTTAAAAAAGATCAATTGACTATATATGTATGGAACTCTTTCCGGACATTCTATTCTGGTCTAATAATTTCTTTGTCTATCCTTATACCAGTAGTACTATAGTAGTTTTTTTTTTTTTTGAGACAGAGTCTCACATTGTTGCCCAGGCTAGAGTGGGTGCAGTGGCGTCAGCCTAGCTCACAGCAACCTCAAACTCCTGGGCTCAAGCAATCCTACTGCATCAGCCTCCCAAGTAGCTGGGACTACAGGCATGTGCCACCATGCCGGGCTAATTTTTTTCTATATATATTAGTTGGCCAATTAATTTCTTTCTATTTATAGTAGAGATGGGGTCTCACTCTTGCTCAGGCTGGTTTCGAACTCCTGACCTCGAGCAATCCGCCCACCTCGGCCTCCCAGTGTGTTAGGATTACAGGCGTGAGCCACTGCGCCCGGCCTATACCAGTAGTACTATAGTAGTTTTATACTAAGTCCTTATATCCAATAGTTTAAGTCTTCCAACTTTTGGTTCCTCGCCCCCTCCAGGAGTATTTTAGCTAATCTAGGTCCTTTGCATTATCTATAAAAATTTTGGAATGAGCTATCCCATTTCTAAAAAAAAAAAAAGAAAAGCGTACAAGAATTTTGGTTGTGATTACATTGAATCTATGAATCAGACTGGAGAGAACTGAGACATTAATATCACGTTTCCTAACCTATGAACAAGGTATGCTTTCCATTTATTTAGGTCTTCTTAATATCTCTTGGTTACTGTTTGTTCCCTTCTACTGTTTTGTAGCTTTTTTGTGAAGAGGTCTTGCTTATTGTTGGTGAAATTTATTCCTAAGAATTTTATGTTTTTGTTGCTATTGTAAATATATCTTTTAATTTTCCCATTTTTTGTTGCTATATATAGAAATGCAATTGATTTTTATGTTGACCTTGTAACCTTTGACTGTACTAAACTCACTTATTAGTTTTTTATTTTGGGGGGATGGGGAAGATTATTTAGAATTTTGCACACATACAAACATGTCATCTATGCATATATCACTTTAAACAATTTAAATTATGTAAACTATATTTCCCATCCCCAACTAGACTACTTCAAGCATGAATAACTTAAAACACTACATTATAGAGCTATTTAATCTTCAACTTTCTCTACTGTTCACTGACTAGAAAGGAAAAGCCTTCCTGATTTTTCAATTCCTCAGTATTCAAATAAATTATCTAGAGCTGAAAAAGAATATTTACTATTAAAGGTAGAATAATTTGCTCATCAATCTTTAATGAATTCACAGCTTTTGGTAACTTCCTCCAGTTTTCCAGTATGATTTTCCATATTATAATCAATTCTTGAGTATTTAAGAATTAGGCAACAAATAGGGACTTAAAATACTGGCAAAAAACTGAGTGGAAGACATATTGTAACCTGTCATGACTGGGTACATGAAACCAGAGATTTAATTTCTTTATAATTTCAGAAGTTATTGTCATTGGGAAGATTTCCAAAGTTTGACTTTTAATGTATTTTTTAAAATCTCAAATAACAGTTTAAAAGTTTTTAAAGTGTGATATTTATCTATATTCACTCACACTATCATAAAATAAAATATTTAACTAAATCCTAGCATGAGGTCAGGTAAAATTTGGCTAGTCGTCTTTCCTACAAGAAAGTCCTAGAGTCCAGTAACCACCAAAGAATGACAATAGCTAAGTCAAGCCTCTCTGAACGTTAAAAGAAATTAATTATTATCTCAACATAAATGGTATTGTGCAAGTCATAAATATGCAATTATAGCCAAAGGATTTTTAATAATATGTCTGGAAAAGTTCAAACAATGGTAACTAGGAAAAAGACTTTAATAAAATAGTTCTGTCAAAAAAAAAAGTTCTACTACATTGTTAATTTTATTCATAAAATAACTGTTAAAAAAACATTTACTCAATTACCAAGTTGCCAGAATTTTAGAAATACTTGCCTGACAGAGGAGACAAATCTTAAATGTGAAATATGTGCCATTCAATTTTATTCCTTTTATCATTTGACTTTAGAAAATATAGATGAAATTCAATTTTAAGGTGGGAATATCATGTGGTGGTGGCTCACAAGCTCTTAGGGATGACCCTCCTCTAGCAAGAATACCTCTGCTACTATAAGAGTGTGAACTTTTGAATTACTGATTGACCACGGCTCAGTCAGGAAGACTCTAAGATGGTAATCCATACTATGGCTTAAAAAAAGAAGGTGCCCTCACTTGCTTATTAAGAGCCAGATAAGTAGGCATCTGAGTTAAGACAGGCCCAGGTTAAGATGATTATTATATATTTTTCATAATAAATTATATTTATGTTTGTAAAAATGTCTTCATCTTTTAGAGATACTGCCTCAAAATAACCTAGGGTGAAGGGAGGATGAGTGAAGAGGGATGGATATAGATAAAAAAGACTGGCCATGTATTAATTATTAAAGGTTAGTGTTGGTTCATTATACTACCTTTGTGATGATGCTTGATAAAATGTTTAAAAGTATTTTATTCACAATTTCAAATTTTCAGATTCTAATCATTACTGAAAATTTAGTTACAGCAAGATCAGTAGGGTGACTCACCGGACATTTTCTGGTCTGAGTTTATCAAGAACCATCTCTATTAAGTCAGGTCTAAATTCTTCCAGGAAATATTCAGCTGTGAGCACTTCTTCTAGAGGATAATACTTTTAAAAAGAAAAATATAAAAAATTAAATTTATAAGGTTATTACAGAGTCTAATTTATTAAAGCAAACATCTTTCTGGCACATTAAATCCACTATTTTACACCCCCTCTTCCTTTCAATTACATTTTACTCTACTGGAAAAATTTCTGTATCCTTGAATCTTTTTCTCTTTCCCACTACAGCTTTAAACAGTTTCATATTGTATGATGTTTCTGCCAAATATACTGTTAATCCCCAAACATAATTACATTTCTTTTGAGGAAAAATATGCGGAATACTTCTATTTAAAAGCTGAGTAGTTGTTAGTGAAGAAAATTCAATAACAAAATGCTGACACCTACAGGTTTTTTTAAAAAGGTACACACAGTTTTATGAACAGAATTTCCTCTCAAATTTCTATAAAAGAAATCTACATTATTTTTCTACACTAGCCAAAAATATAAGCCATTTTTCCCCACAACAACTTTCTAAATGCTTGTCTGAAGATGCTTTTTAGTAAAAGCAACTTCCAATATTCTGACACAGACTGACTGATTCATTTATTCAACAAATATTTAATGAACACCTATTCTGTGTCAGGCACTGTTCTAGGTACTGTAGATACAATAGTATTAATAGAGAAGACACACACAGACACACACAAAAAAAAAAAATTAGAGAAGATACATGAAGTCACTGTCTTCCAAGGAGCATATATATATTCTAACTGGGAGGGAGGCAGACAATAAACAAATATTATAAATTTAGTAACAGGCAATAAGAAGAAAATAAAAAAGGAGCAGGTGCAGGGGCATTATTTTAGATTGGGGGGGGTCAAGGAAAGTCTTGCTGAAGAGTAGACATCTAAGTGGAGATTCAAATGATAAGAAAAGCCTAGAAAGCAAAGATCAGATGGAAGAGTGTCCCATGTAGAGAAAACAGCAAATGTAAAGGATTTAAGAAAGAGGAATAAACTTAATGCTTGAAAATTACAGAGCCAATATACCTGGAGTGAAATGCAAATGCAAAAGTGAGCTGGAGAGTGGTATGGAATGCAGCCAGGGAGATAGGCTGGGGCTGGATCACCTTGTAGGCCAAGGAGAATTTTGGATTTTATGCCAACTCTGATGGAAAACCACTGAAGGACATTAACCAGAGGAGTGAAACAATTGGATTTTAGTTTACAAAAGATCACTGAGGTTGGAAAAATAAAACTACAGTGGGGGATAAGAAGGAAAACAGGGATCCTAGGTAAAAGACTATCATGGTAATCCAGGTAAGAAATGATGGTAGCTCAAACTAATATGGTAGCAATGGAAATGGAGAAAAGTAGATGATCCATAACTTTCACATAGGTAACACCTGACATACTGTACAACTGAAAAATATTTAAAGCCAATAAACAAAATGCCTATGTAATGAGAATATTACAGATGATCATTTCTAGGATAATGAAAATTGAAATTTTATAGATGTCTTGACATCAAAATTTGCCCTGTTGCTACAAAGTCTAAAGTTTTATACTTCAGCTTCAATTTTCATCATTCATGTAGTACAGAAATATATGAAAGACCACCGGAGTACTCTACATACCTATACAGTAAAATAACAACAAACTTACATGCAATATTCCCGCAATCTTAGACGTATAGCCCCGTGGCCTCTCTTTATCTTTAAACCTAAAAGCAACAGCATTCAAGTCCTAAAACAGAAAGTTAATCCAATCAGACATAAGTCAACTATTATTTAGAAATACTTTTTTTTTTAGTGGTTAGTAGTATAAACTTTCTACTCCATATTTAACTTTATCATACTCTCTGAAAAATGGCTATGCTTGATTTAGCAATATATAAAACATGAAAAAAAAACCTTCTTAATGTGTATAAAATTTAACACATCAACCTAGGCTTAAGACCAAAAGCAAAATAGGTAAATAATTTTGAATGAAAACAAACACAGAATATGATTCTATAGCCTAAATTGTTGAAACTATTCATGAAAGAATTAGAAAAACTATGTGGAAGAACCGTGTGAGATTCAACAATCCCATAGATGATGATTCTGGTGACCCATTCAGAGAACTGGACCCACATTCAAAGCTATTTTCATAATTTTCACAAGCAGAGATTATACCTTTGAACTTTTACCTAGTTAAAGAGGATGTTTTTCATCCTAAAATACATTTTAGAATCTTGATAGGAAAGGATGTATTTTTAAAAACCCTTTTAAAAGAAGTCTTTAAAAATTTGGAACACAAACACCTTTAGTTTTATGCAAGAAAAAAAAGGATAGTGAGGCTTTTCCATACATACAATAATAAAATCACTTTTAAGAACACAATCATACATAAAGCAATTCACTATTTCTTTGAGAGTTTGCTACAGTTTTGAAAATGCCATAGCTCATGCAGCTTCAGTCAGGGAGTAACATAAGCCCTGCTCAGGAAACTGCTGGTTTTCTTCTGAGGGATGGAAAAGCAATCTGATTTCTTCCCTTTTCCCTCCTAAAAAAGGCTACATGATGCTTTAACCCTTAATTGTGCCCCAAGTACCAAATCAGACTAGTACAACTAAGCCTTAACTAATACTACTATGCATTGCAAAATTTAGAGTTTAATTAGAAAAAAAAAAACTTTAAAAGTTTAACTGGGCCTTAAATTTAAATTAATTCACATGTATTTATTTTTGAAAAATAGATTCCTTAAGAAAAACTTTGGTGAAACAAAAGTACCTTGCACTCTTGGAAAACCCATTCTTGAGGTCCTTCTGCACGTAACTTCTGAATGTATTGAAACATGTGCAAAATTATATCTTCAACATGTACTGGAAAAAAGGGGCACACTTAAAAACCATTCAGTCCTTGAATCCTTCAAAGCAGTGAGCTCACTCCTAAGGTAAAGTCAGGTAAGTAGAAGATGGTCCCTCTTAGAAAATGGAGTCCTCACCTCCCTGAGACTGGTTTTAGGTATCCCACTCACAGCCCTCTGGGCTCATGGATATGTGACAGAAGGGGTGTTGGGGCAGTAAATGAGCAAATAAAAAGCCAAGTACACATTTAACAAGCACAACATAATGATAGGTTGTTAAGGGGGGAAAATCATTCATGAAACAAAGGCTAAGTTACACATGAAAAATACAATGGATAAATTGTATGAATTAAAGTGTTTATAGCTTTTCAACATAAAACAGATCCACAGCATAAAGAAGTTAAAAAAATAAATCATACAAAGTCAATTTTCATTCAAAAGCAAAAAGGTCAATCAATACTTACATAATCCTTCCTCAGTCAAGTCCACATTAATGATAAAAAACATAAAACCTCGGGCTCCTTCCTTCTGCCCACCAACAAGAGTATTTACCCAGCCTGCAACATTCAAAGGAAATCAACATGATTGCATGTGTGGCTTCTTTCAAGACAAGAAATTTTTCAAAATTTCCTACTGTATGTGCCCAAGGGATCAGAATGGACCTCTTATAGAAAAGAATGGAGGAAAAAACATCAGTTCAGAAAAGCAGTTTTAGATGATGTGGAAAACTAACAGATTTCTGGGGTTGGGGTCTTTTCTGAAGACTCCTCAAATCAATTCTAAATCAAGAGTAGACTACTGTGCTTAATTAAGTGGTAGGTAAAAGCAAAGGGCATGACTTGGGAGGAGGCTTGGGAACCATTTATTGACTAGATCCTATAATACCCTTCAGATTTGATGGATAAGGGCAAGCAAATAAATAATGTGTTCTGACATTCACAGAGATGATAAAGAACATATAATGTGGGCTTTTACTTTTTAACCTCTTTCTCATTTAAAACATACATTATGATTATCTTTCGAAGTATCTAACATCTAATCTTCACTGTTCGATACTGAAGGGTAAAACAAATTACAGAAAAAAAACCCAAAAACAAAAAGCACAGTAACAATCACCACCTTACTCACTAACCCAAAACACTTCCGCCTAAAAACATTCACAAGGCCAGGCGCAGTGGCTCACGCCTGTAATCCTAGCACTTTGGGAGGCCGAGGCGGGTAGATCGTTTGAGCTCAGGAGTTTGAGACAAGCTTGAGCCAGAGCAAGACCCCTGCCCCCCCATCTCTACTAAAAAAAAAAAAAAAAAATAGAAAAATTATATGGACAACTTAAAAAAAAAAAAATATATATATATATAAATTAGCTGGGCATGGTGGTGCATGCCTGTAGTTCCAGCCACTTAGGAGGCTGAGGCAGGAGGATTGCTTAAGCCCAGGAGTCTAAGGTTGCTGTGAGCTAGGCTGCTGCCATGGCACTCTAGCCTTGGCAACAGAGTGAGACTCTGTCTCAAAAAAGTAAAATAAAATAAAATAGGCCGGGCGCGGTGGCTCACGCCTGTAATCCTAGCACTCTGGGAGGCCGAGCAGGTGGATTGCTTGAGGTCAGGAGTTCAAAACCAGCCTGAGCAAAAGTGAGACCCCGTCTCTACTATATAAAAAAATAGAAAGAAATTAATTGGCCAACTAATATATATAGAAAAAATTAACCGGGCATGGTGGCGCATGCCTGTAGTCCCAGCTATTTGGGAGCCTGAGGCAGGAGGATTGCCTGAGCCCAGGAGTCTAAGGTTGCTGTGAGCTAGGCTGCTGCCATGGCACTCTAGCCTTGGCAACAGAGTGAGACTCTGTCTCAAAAAAAAAAAAAAAAAAAAAGTTAGCCAGGCATGGTGGCACGTGCCTATAGTCACAACTTCTTCGGAGGCTGAGGCAGGAAAATCACTGAGGCAGGAAAATCACTTGAGCCCAGGAGTTTGAGGTTGCAGTGAGCTATGATGATGCCACTGCACTCTAACCTGGGTGACAGAGCAAGACTCTGTCTCAAAAAATAAATTAATTAATTAAATAAAAAAAATAAAAAACAAATATTAGAAACAATAATAGCTGCATTTGGAAAAATGACTATGATTCCCAACAGGCATCTACTGAACTATTAGAGGAGAGATTATAACATACACCTTACAAATAGACACAGACTAAGCCCATTGTTAAAAATCAAATGTTAGAGTTTACATGTGGCTGATTTTGTGGGGAAATAGTATAATGGTGAAAAGAACCCTGGAGGCAAGGGGGGGGGAATTCCAGGGAACTGGGATTCTAACCCCAACTTCACCACCCATGTTAACTGACTACTTGGACAAACTGGTTAACCATTCCAAGCTCTGTAAAATAAGGAAATTGGGCAAGATGATCACAAGTCTCTTTCAAGATCTAACATTATATGATTCTGTACCACAATGTGCTAAAGTCACACAAAGACTTCCAATTACTGATAAACTTATATGCCCTCTTAAATGATGTTCTTTTATGTTTTCACCTACATATATTTTTTATAGAGTTTTACTTGCAAAAGTTTGCAAAGCTGTGTGTGTGTGTATATATATATATACACACACACACATACACACACACAAATACATGTAGCAGAACTGTTTATAACAAAAAATGAAAATGACTTCTATGAATATGTGGATATTATGAAACATCGATACATTGGAATTTTATGCATCCATTAATGAGGGATAGATCTGTATGTGCTGATACTAAAATATCTCAAAGCTCTATTAAGTAAAAACTGCAGGCTATAAAACAAGGCCATGTAATATAATTTAATGTTTTTTAAAGACATATATAAAAACATATTAACAAAATTCAACTTTTGGAAGTATAACAAGAAATGAGTTAGGGTCTTTGGGGAGAGGGCATAGTGGTCATAGGATGGAATAAGAACAACTTGCTTTTTATTTTATACCTGTGTGGGATAAATTTTTTTCCATGTGCATATATTACTATTATTCTAAAAAGAAAAGAGTACAAAAAAACCTTATCTTTTTTATAAATAAGATAATCACTCACCTTGATTCTGTCTACTCAAAAATAGATTATTTATAAATGGTATAAACATTCATTTCTTGTTACTATCACTAAGCATTTGAATCAAATAAGAAATTTCCCGATATTCTATGACCCATTTTGAACTTTTCCATGAACTCTCTAGAGGACACTTAATCACTTTTTGAGAATTGCCTTTATATGGTATAAAATCTTTTATGTTTATGAATGTGGACATTTGTACTTTATTTATAAAATATATCTATTTTTATGTCAATTTTTTGGACATGTATGAAGGATCCCAACATGTCCAAGAGCCAAATAAAGGGCAGATCAGTGGCTGCTTATATGACAAGCGAACTTAGGAATGGAGGGGATATATTTGGAACAAGAGAAGTCAAGAGACATCTTTATGCACAGATGAGACATATGACTTGAAACAAGGTAAGTTATCAACAAGTTTGCTAACTAGAAGTATTGATGACAGCTAGGCCTGTTAGAGTAAGGTTCTACCAAATGTGCCTTTTGTCTTGCATATTTCTATCCTAAAAGCATAAATTCATAGTGTAGCTTTTTAAAGGTAAGGGAGCTAAACAATATTGCAGTCTGTCTTCCTCACTAAACCAAGCTACCAGAGATCAGGGAACTGAGTTCATCTTCATATCATCAGAGCTTGGCAACCTCAGTGTCTGTACTTCATTGTTACCTATTTACCAAGTGTTCAGGCAATTCGTGCTTGCCACAACTAGAGGGATGGCTTCAGGCAAGTAGGGAAAAACTCTTTCGTGCCCTTGTGACAGAAATCCTTCCACATGGTTACTCTTCCTCTCCCTTTCCCCCAGAAAGAGGAACAGATTATCTATTAATCGTCTAGTCTAAGAGATCCAGTTTCCTCCTCACACCTTTGTACTGTAAAGATACCTCTCCCAGAGCCTTCATCAAGTCTACTGAGCTCAGTACAGGAAGTCAGTCATGATAGGAGAGTGACATGTATGGATCAAGAAACTGAAACATCTTATTTCTTTTAGGCCCGTATTCTGTCACTTCTACCAAACCAAGAACACGCTAAGGACAGGGCTCATGTGTCATTCATTTGTTGCCATTGTTACTTGCCCAATAAAAGTTTATTGAAATCATGTGTTTTATCTCAAATACAACACAGGAAAAAAAAATACAGGTTAGGCACCTATTCCCAGAACTGGGCTTTAAATACCAAGTGATATTTAACATTCTAGGCCCACCTACCTTTAGCAAGCACACAGTTGTATAAAGTCTGTTTTTTTAAATTGGCCTCACTCCTTGAATTCATTTTATATCCTGGTTCAACTTAAAATGTATATCATTTTGTTTTTTCTTTTTTTTAAGAGATGGGGTCTCACTCTGCCACCTAGGCTGGAGTGTAGTGCCTCAATCAAAGCTCACTGCTCCCGTACAGGTAGGACTCCAGGTGTGTACCACCACACCCAGCTAATTTTTCTTATTTTTTGTAGAGACAGGATCCCACTATGTTGCCCAGGTGGTCCTGAACTCCTGGCCTCAAGCAATCTACCTGCCTCAGCCTCCCAAAGTGCTAGGATTACAGGTGTAAGCCACTGCACTCGGCCTAGTTTATTTTCTTTTTTTTCCAGATAGTTTATTTTCTAACTGCAAAAATAACATTTGCCAATAGCAGAAAACTTAGAAACAAAAGCAAAAAGATGATGAAAGTACCATAATCTCACAATTATGAAATGCTATAGTGGCTATCATTTATGGAGCATTTGCTATGTGCCAAATACTATGCTAAACACTATTTGCATTACCTCAGTTAAACCTCAAAACAGGTATGAGGTACCACCTCCATTTTACAAATGCAAAAACTGAAGTTTAGGGAACTGAAGTAACTTGGTTACCTCACAGCCACACAGCTAAGTAAGTTGTATATTTGGAATTCAAAGCCAGGTTGTTGGATTCTAGAATATGAGTTTTTAATTACTATATCACAATATTAACTTTCTCAAATATGTTTTTCTATTTTGTCTTTTTTTTTTTGAAATAAGATCTCAATCTGTCACCCAGGTTGGAGTGCAGTGGTGTGCTCATAGCTTCACTGCAACCTCAAACTTCTGGGCTCAAGCAATTCTCCCATCTCAGCCTCCAGAGTAGCTAGGACTACAGGTGAGCACCACCATGCCTGGCTAATTTTTAAATTTTTTGTAGAGATGGGGGTCTCACTATGTTGCCCAGGATAGTCTCGAACTCCTAGTCTCAAACAATCCTCCAGCCTCGGCCTCCCAAAGTGCTGAGATTATAGGCATGAGCCACTGTGCCCAGACTCCATTTTGTTTAATGTCTATACCATATATCTATTAGAATTTTTAATAAATCTTAAAAATGGGACCATATAGCACATAGTGCTTTTATTTTCTATTTAATACATTAAGACTATTTTCCCATGGTATTAAAAAATGCTTTCATAAAACTGTTTATTCATTCAGTATATTTTACCAAGCAACCTATGATATGCCAA